GGTATTTCTTGGTAGACAAAGAATTCAAGTAAGTGCCTAGATTTTGTGTGTCTATTTCAGCCTGGTTTAGAAGTTTCTGATTTCTGTTCTCCTGTTTTCTGTTATTTGGGATGCAGTGTTATAGGATACACTTTGCTACTAAGCCTGATTGAGTACAAGACTCTTGTGATGCGAGGTGATCTAGACAGAGCCAGTGAAATCTTGCCTACAATTCCTAAAGAACAGCATAACAGGTAATTGTTATCGATTAATATCTATCAATGGGTATTTCGTGGATTTTTCTATATATTTATGTCGCAAATTTTCCACTTTGTTAGTGTTGCTCATTTCTTGGAGTCACGAGGAATGATTGAAGAGGCTCTGGAAATTGCGACAGATCCTGACTACAAATTTGAGTTGGCCATACAACTGGGTAGACTTGAAATTGCGCAGGTGATATAATATGTGATGATTAAGATGCTTTTTTCCTTCTTTATTTAGTGGCATATGTAACCAAACGTGTTTTTGATTATATGCTTGTAGGAAATCGCTGTAGAAGTACAGAGCGAGTCTAAGTGGAAGCAATTAGGAGAGTTAGCCATGTCCTCTGGAAAGGTATTATTTCTTCCTAATGTTAAGTAATGACACTACAAAGACAAAAAAAAACCTTTTCAGTAAACGATATATCAGTTGATTTACGTGTGATTCCGAAGTTTTATCCAGAAATGTTGGAGCAGTGAGCAATATGATCTTTGAAACAGCAAAAATCTATGTTTTTTTGTCTCCTGGTTACGTGTCTGATGTGCGGATCTCCAACTAACTCGTTCCATTTGTATGTCATAATGACAGCTGCAAATGGCAGAGGAATGCATGAAGTATGCGATGGATTTGAGTGGTTTGTTACTGCTATATTCTTCTCTGGGAGATGCAGAAGGTTTGACAAAACTTGCAACACTTGCTAAAGACCAAGGGAAGAACAATGTTGCCTATCTTTGCCTATTCATGCTGGGTAAATTGGAAGATTGTTTGGACTTATTGGTGGAGAGGTAATTCATTAGGAGTTTGGAAAAATCAAATTCATGCACCTTTGGTTATCTGTGTGACGATTTCGTTCTTTCTCCAGCAACCGGATACCAGAAGCTGCTCTGTTCGCAAGATCATATCTTCCAAGCAAAGTATCTGAGATAGTAGCTCTATGGAGGAAAGATCTCAGCAAGGTAACTTTTTTATCTTTATTTTTCAGTGAATTGTGGTCAAGGAGAAAAAAGAGTTATGGTTATAAAGTTGCGTTTCACTTGTCTACAGATTAACCCGAAAGCAGCAGAATCTTTGGCTGATCCTGAGGAGTACTCAAATCTTTTTGAAGATTGGCAAGTTGCTCTTTCCGTCGAAGAAAAAGCTGCAGAGACAAGGTAATTAAGCAGAGATACCATTAATACCTAGTACATCCTTGCACTGATATTTCCGCATAATTACACTTGGGCCTCTCAGAAATCTGACTATTATTCAATTACAGGGGAGTTTATACATCTGCAGAAAACTATCCTAGCCATGCTGATAGATCTTCGATGACCCTCGTGGAAGCCTTTAGAAACTTGCAAGCTGAGGAAGAGGAATTACTCGAAAATGGAGATATCGATCATGAGGTGCCTTTTTCTCTGTCCAATTAAGTTACTCATTTATATCAGCCACGAATGCTTTATTGTTCTTCTTCTCAGGAGGCAGTAGCGGAAGAAAATGGAGGAGATGAACAAAAGAAGGATGGGGATGTTGTAGAGGAGCATCATGAAGAAAAGGAAGAAGAAGAAGGAGTCGTTGATGGTGACTCAACGGATGGAGCTGTACTTGTGAACGAAAGTGAGGCTGACGAAGAGTGGGGTACGAATAATGAAGGAAACCCATCCGCCTAATATCAAGTCCGATCGGTCAAGCCAATGTTGAAAAGTCTGAAAATTTTGTCTCTGGTGATTAATTTGATCTCCCAAAGATAGCATGCATGCCTTCTAACATTCCCCCCTCTGTTATGCGTCTGGTTTGAAATCATTATACCTTAGGAAACATAATTTTAAGTTGTTTCGTGACATGGCTTAGGTTTTGAAACCGAGTATTTGCTTCGCCTTTTAAGAACTTGTTGGTATTAGTTTAACTTATTTATCTTTCGGCTTACTTTGTGTTTTGCAGTGCTTACACCGCGTCAGTAGAGTTTACAGTTTATGGGGAATGGCCAAAGTTCCAGCAACAATGGAGAGGTGAGATAACGTTCTTTCTGAGGACTTGCAGCTTGGAACACCACACTCAGTCAAGTATTTCGAGTCCATTTGTAATTAAAGTTTGATTTTTTTGGTAAGAAACTGAAATTCCGAGAGGCTGAAGGATTTAGATGAAAAGAGAGAGAGAGTCTGGTGGTGTTCCTTATCGGGAGATTTTATTCTTATTATATGGTTTTTATTTTTTTTGCCTAAAGATCTACTTCAATAGTTTACATCTGATTGGATTTTACAGTATTTTCTTCCTCCGGCCTGTAAAATGATTTGTCTTTATTTTAAACGTTGCGAATATAATTCTCTTGGAGTTTTCTTATACTTTTCCCATCAGTTTGTCTCCTTTTCATTGTTTTTCTTGCTACCCTTTTGTTTTATACATCTTCAAAGATTGAGTAGGACTCCGTTGAATTGGCTCAAGGATACAGTATGTTGTTCCATTAAATATAAAAGACTATAATCTTGCAAAGATAATCAACACTAATCGAAGATTAAAGTATGTATGTATCTTTGCTGGGGAAAAAAGTGAGAAGAAAAATATCAAATATGTACCTGAGTGACAAAAAAATAAATAATAATAAGGGAAATTGACACAAATGTCGATAAAATTAAAATATTGAGATACATAGTTCGATGTTCTTCTTCTATTAACCCCCTCTTTGAGCTTCCTCTTCGTACCACGATCGTTGTTGCTCCTTGTTAGGCCTTTTATAAACGGGCTCGTTGGGTCTGAATATTTGTCGATGAAAAATATAACAGCCATTTGAGTGGCCCATATCCATCCCAGTGGCGATTTCGTAAATGTCTTACCTCAGCGTTCTTAAGCAAAAATTTACTTATCTTCCTGATTTTAATTTACTTTATCACATCGAGCTACATAACGTCGTTCGTTCTTCGATCTCCGATTTGCAGATTTAAGCGATAATACGAGATCCGGAGGGCACAGCCTTCCTCCGCTTAATCAGTAAATATGGTGAGTAGTGAAATCCTTCCTCTACTTTTCGTTCTTCTCAGATCTCGAGTGAACATTTCTACGATTCGATCTCGATTTCCTGCATTTCTGATAGTGATTTTAGCGTAATTTGAGTGAGATCGTGGAATCTCAGATCGCATGTTTCCTTGTATTCGACTTTTCTGATCTGATTCGAATTGTGTCTAGTGTTGCTGCCGATGGCATGAAATCGAGTGTAGTCTCTTGACATTTGGTCTCATGGCCGTTGCATTTTGATAAGATCTGGAATTCTTTCGGTTTAGGTGCATATGTGGTCCAGAAAGTTGTTTGCGTTGTGTATTCGGTTTTAAGCTTTTAGCTGTTTTCTATATATTTGTGTGGCTAAAAGTTCCTTGTTGATTTTGGTTGAGGAATTTTGGTAAAATTTGTAGTTTACGATCTTACTTTCTTTAGCTTAGTACTGACTACTGCTTTCTTTCTTTTCTGTTGAATCAGCCTCTCAGACTCGAGATCAAGGTACTGTTTTAATCTCCATGTAGTAATTTTAGATCACTCACTCTGGTTTTAGGCTGTGTTGGTGATTTGATTTGCGTTGTTTGTGGAGCAGAAGAAATTTGCTCAAAGGTCCGAGAGAGTAAAATCTGTGGATCTGCATCCTACAGAACCATGGTAATTTCGAGATATGATTGTGTTCTCCCTGCATTTTAGTTTCATGCTTACTTTCTTTTTAGCGACTGAAAGATTCTTTCACCATTTTGTACTAATGACTGGAACGTGAATGACATAATTTTTCAGGATTCTAGCAAGTTTGTACTCTGGAACCTTGTGTATTTGGAACTACCAGACACAGGTGGGTAAATAATTTGATTTTCTTTATTTGTTTTCTTGTGCACATATTTCACAATGAACTTTTTGTGAATTGGAATGACCAAAAGTGCAACTGAAAGATTTTGATTCTTTCTGTATTCTATGAGGTTTTGCAGTGTTTTGATATTCTGTTAGGTTGCTTTTATATGAAATCGTGGAAATTTTTTAACCTGAATCTTGCTTGATAATTCTCAGGTGATGGCAAAATCCTTCGAGGTGACCGAATTACCAGGTATATAGATTTCTTTCTTTTGCCTATTAAGTTATAATGTTTTTTTTTTTTCATTCTTTCTTGTTGTATGGACTATGTACTCATGTTTAGTTTATTACTTATGCTGATTTCTTATATTATGAATTTGCAGTTCGATCAGCCAAGTTTATAGCACGAAAGCAATGGGTTGTGGCAGGAGCTGATGATATGTACATCCGTGTATACAATTACAATACCATGGACAAGGTCAAAGTGTTTGAGGCTCATTCAGACTACATTAGGTGTGTGGCTGTTCATCCAACCCTTCCATATGTGCTGTCATCTTCCGATGATATGCTCATAAAGCTTTGGGACTGGGAAAAGGGTTGGGCTTGCACTCAAATATTCGAGGGGCACTCACACTATGTGATGCAAGTCACATTCAATCCAAAAGACACCAATACTTTTGCCAGTGCATCACTTGATCGTACCATTAAGGTACTGAAATTGTCTAAGCTTGTAGCTTGGTTATGAATTAGTCCGCTTAAGGTTATGAAAAGTGTCAGCTGATTCTATATTACATGCTTGTTGATCTTCAGATTTGGAATCTTGGTTCTCCAGACCCAAATTTTACATTAGATGCCCATCAGAAAGGAGTGAATTGTGTAGATTATTTCACCGGTGGGGATAAGCCTTATCTAATTACCGGCTCTGATGATCACACTGCTAAGGTCTGCATCAGTGCTATGTTAAATGATACATTTATACTGACATTAAGTGCTTTCAGCTTATTTACTAGTTAAATTTCGGGAATCAGGTTTGGGACTATCAAACAAAAAGTTGTGTCCAGACACTGGACGGGCACACACACAATGTATCTGCAGTATGTTTCCATCCCGAGCTTCCAATTATAATCACAGGTTCTGAAGATGGTACAGTTCGCATCTGGCACTCAACTACTTACAGGTATTATAATATGAACAGTTGTTTTTGTTGGAATATGAATAATACAAGGCTTCTTCTATGCCTAGCTTAGTCATCTTCATTCGAGCTTCATTCTTTTGCATATTTTCCTCAGTACCAATTTTTCTATTGTCCTTCCATTTGTAATCCCAGTTTTTAATGTTTGATTATTCTTGCAGGCTAGAGAACACCTTAAATTATGGTCTCGAGAGAGTTTGGGCCATTGGTTACATTAAAAGTTCACGCCGGTGAGGTTTTAAATTTTTGCTTCCTTCTCTTATTAATAACTCAATGCTTTTCAGAACTGTTATCCGGGAGTAGATTTACTCTCTCAGTTGATGGCAAAACAGCATTAATTGAAGCTTTGCTTCTGACGTTCAACTTTTTGGCACTCTTGTGGTTATTATTGTTGGAAGCGACTTGTTTTTACACCATGGAGTTATCCTGCGAGACCGTTAACCTTTTTCTTGTTTTCACTTCACAGGGTTGTGATTGGATATGATGAAGGAACCATCATGGTTAAACTTGGACGAGAAATTCCTGTCGCTAGCATGGATAACACCGGAAAAATCATTTGGGCTAAGCACAATGAAATTCAAACTGCAAACATCAAAAGTATTGGTGCAGATTACGAGGTATAGGTCTTAACTCTTATACTGTGGCAGCGGATGACCTAGTTTTTATTTGTTTACCTGATGGTATTAAGCCTTTGTTCTCGACCTTAGGTTACCGATGGAGAAAGGTTGCCTGTGGCTGTTAAAGAGTTGGGTACCTGTGATCTTTATCCACAAGTGAGTGTTACTATACAGCATTTGATCCAATGGTTTTGTATGTTTTAGCTTGTTTTATAGTTTATTTGGGCAAAACATTTTCTGCATAGCTGGTATGACTGACACTAGCCCAAAGTTGTTGGTTTCGCTACGCTTTTCTTCTTCTGAATATATAACTGTGTCTCATATGTTGGTACTCTTGCCCTCAGAGCTTGAAGCACAATCCTAATGGGCGGTTTGTGGTAGTCTGTGGTGACGGGGAGTATATCATCTACACGGCTTTGGCTTGGAGAAATAGGTCATTTGGTTCTGGACTGGAATTTGTATGGTCATCCGACGGGGAGTGTGCCGTTAGAGAAAGCTCATCAAAGATTAAGACATTTAGCAAAAATTTCCAGGTTCATTATTCTCCTCCTGTTCTAAGACGTTATGTTTCTACCGTTGTTGGAAGTATTACTGATACTGTCATTGAGATAATTGTTTCTGGATCTGGCTCACACACAGAAGATGTTTGCAGGAAAAAAAGAGCATCCGCCCTACTTTCTCAGCTGAGAAGATCTTTGGAGGAACCTTGTTAGCTATGTGTTCAAATGATTTCATCTGCTTTTATGATTGGGCTGAATGTAGGCTGATTCAACGTATTGACGTCACTGTAAAGGTATACTTGGCTCTGTTTGTTTTGAGAAGTTTACTTCGAGACATATTTGGAATCGTGAAAGCTAATGTTAGCTTCAGTTGGAGATTGTCCTCGTTTGTTTCTTCTCTAATTCTTTATTTTGCCTTATAATGTATGCAGAATCTTTATTGGGCTGACAGTGGTGATTTAGTAGCCATTGCTAGTGATACGTCTTTCTACATCTTGAAGTACAACGTAAGAATCCTGTCCAACGAACACTTTAAGCTGTGAATTTCTATATACAATTCTTGGATTGTTCAAGTGCTTACTATGGTGTTCCCGTTCACAGCGGGATTTAGTTTCCTCACATTTTGAGAGCGGAAGATCTACTGAGGAAGAAGGTGTTGAGGATGCTTTTGAGGTTCTACATGAGAATGATGAACGAGTTAGGACAGGTATATGGGTTGGTGACTGTTTCATTTACAACAACTCTTCCTGGAAGCTTAACTACTGTGTTGGAGGCGAGGTATTGTGCAGATCTCTTGGTTACTCTAATTTGACTTTTATTATGAACAGTATATTGATGAGATTTGCCAACATCTTAATACTAGGTAACCACAATGTATCATTTGGACCGCCCAATGTATCTGTTGGGCTATCTTGCAAATCAAAGTCGGGTATTCTTGGTAGACAAAGAATTCAAGTAAGTGCCTAGATTTTGTGTGTCTATTTCAGCCTGGTTTAGAAGTTTCTGATTTCTGTTCTCCTGTTTTCTGTTATTTGGGATGCAGTGTTATAGGATACACTTTGCTACTAAGCCTGATTGAGTACAAGACTCTTGTGATGCGAGGTGATCTAGACAGAGCCAGTGAAATCTTGCCTACAATTCCTAAAGAACAGCATAACAGGTAATTGTTATCGATTAATATCTATCAATGGGTATTTCGTGGATTTTTCTATATATTTATGTCGCAAATTTTCCACTTTGTTAGTGTTGCTCATTTCTTGGAGTCACGAGGAATGATTGAAGAGGCTCTGGAAATTGCGACAGATCCTGACTACAAATTTGAGTTGGCCATACAACTGGGTAGACTTGAAATTGCGCAGGTGATATAATATGTGATGATTAAGATGCTTTTTTCCTTCTTTATTTAGTGGCATATGTAACCAAACGTGTTTTTGATTATATGCTTGTAGGAAATCGCTGTAGAAGTACAGAGCGAGTCTAAGTGGAAGCAATTAGGAGAGTTAGCCATGTCCTCTGGAAAGGTATTATTTCTTCCTAATGTTAAGTAATGACACTACAAAGACAAAAAAAAACCTTTTCAGTAAACGATATATCAGTTGATTTACGTGTGATTCCGAAGTTTTATCCAGAAATGTTGGAGCAGTGAGCAATATGATCTTTGAAACAGCAAAAATCTATGTTTTTTTGTCTCCTGGTTACGTGTCTGATGTGCGGATCTCCAACTAACTCGTTCCATTTGTATGTCATAATGACAGCTGCAAATGGCAGAGGAATGCATGAAGTATGCGATGGATTTGAGTGGTTTGTTACTGCTATATTCTTCTCTGGGAGATGCAGAAGGTTTGACAAAACTTGCAACACTTGCTAAAGACCAAGGGAAGAACAATGTTGCCTATCTTTGCCTATTCATGCTGGGTAAATTGGAAGATTGTTTGGACTTATTGGTGGAGAGGTAATTCATTAGGAGTTTGGAAAAATCAAATTCATGCACCTTTGGTTATCTGTGTGACGATTTCGTTCTTTCTCCAGCAACCGGATACCAGAAGCTGCTCTGTTCGCAAGATCATATCTTCCAAGCAAAGTATCTGAGATAGTAGCTCTATGGAGGAAAGATCTCAGCAAGGTAACTTTTTTATCTTTATTTTTCAGTGAATTGTGGTCAAGGAGAAAAAAGAGTTATGGTTATAAAGTTGCGTTTCACTTGTCTACAGATTAACCCGAAAGCAGCAGAATCTTTGGCTGATCCTGAGGAGTACTCAAATCTTTTTGAAGATTGGCAAGTTGCTCTTTCCGTCGAAGAAAAAGCTGCAGAGACAAGGTAATTAAGCAGAGATACCATTAATACCTAGTACATCCTTGCACTGATATTTCCGCATAATTACACTTGGGCCTCTCAGAAATCTGACTATTATTCAATTACAGGGGAGTTTATACATCTGCAGAAAACTATCCTAGCCATGCTGATAGATCTTCGATGACCCTCGTGGAAGCCTTTAGAAACTTGCAAGCTGAGGAAGAGGAATTACTCGAAAATGGAGATATCGATCATGAGGTGCCTTTTTCTCTGTCCAATTAAGTTACTCATTTATATCAGCCACGAATGCTTTATTGTTCTTCTTCTCAGGAGGCAGTAGCGGAAGAAAATGGAGGAGATGAACAAAAGAAGGATGGGGATGTTGTAGAGGAGCATCATGAAGAAAAGGAAGAAGAAGAAGGAGTCGTTGATGGTGACTCAACGGATGGAGCTGTACTTGTGAACGAAAGTGAGGCTGACGAAGAGTGGGGTACGAATAATGAAGGAAACCCATCCGCCTAATATCAAGTCCGATCGGTCAAGCCAATGTTGAAAAGTCTGAAAATTTTGTCTCTGGTGATTAATTTGATCTCCCAAAGATAGCATGCATGCCTTCTAACATTCCCCCCTCTGTTATGCGTCTGGTTTGAAATCATTATACCTTAGGAAACATAATTTTAAGTTGTTTCGTGACATGGCTTAGGTTTTGAAACCGAGTATTTGCTTCGCCTTTTAAGAACTTGTTGGTATTAGTTTAACTTATTTATCTTTCGGCTTACTTTGTGTTTTGCAGTGCTTACACCGCGTCAGTAGAGTTTACAGTTTATGGGGAATGGCCAAAGTTCCAGCAACAATGGAGAGGTGAGATAACGTTCTTTCTGAGGACTTGCAGCTTGGAACACCACACTCAGTCAAGTATTTCGAGTCCATTTGTAATTAAAGTTTGATTTTTTTGGTAAGAAACTGAAATTCCGAGAGGCTGAAGGATTTAGATGAAAAGAGAGAGAGAGTCTGGTGGTGTTCCTTATCGGGAGATTTTATTCTTATTATATGGTTTTTATTTTTTTTGCCTAAAGATCTACTTCAATAGTTTACATCTGATTGGATTTTACAGTATTTTCTTCCTCCGGCCTGTAAAATGATTTGTCTTTATTTTAAACGTTGCGAATATAATTCTCTTGGAGTTTTCTTATACTTTTCCCATCAGTTTGTCTCCTTTTCATTGTTTTTCTTGCTACCCTTTTGTTTTATACATCTTCAAAGATTGAGTAGGACTCCGTTGAATTGGCTCAAGGATACAGTATGTTGTTCCATTAAATATAAAAGACTATAATCTTGCAAAGATAATCAACACTAATCGAAGATTAAAGTATGTATGTATCTTTGCTGGGGAAAAAAGTGAGAAGAAAAATATCAAATATGTACCTGAGTGACAAAAAAATAAATAATAATAAGGGAAATTGACACAAATGTCGATAAAATTAAAATATTGAGATACATAGTTCGATGTTCTTCTTCTATTAACCCCTCTTTGAGCTCCCTCTTCGTCTCATACCACTTCGCTCCGGCGTTAGGTTATTCTATTCCCTCTTCTGGTGCTGCTCTTCTCGGTAAGTTCTTCCCACTTTCTCTGCTCGCCGGTCACTTTCGTGAATCTGCGGTTTTCTTCATTCCCGGTTTCTCGGAAATGTTAACTTTCTCAGGTCTAGCTGCTTTGATTCTAGGGTTTTGTCATCCTGTTATTTGTTCACTTCGCTGTGGGCATAATTTCCGGTTTTTTCTGAAGAGTTTGTTTTGATTGATTTGGGGTTTTAGGATTTAACTCGTGTTCAACCAATTTTCGTTCTTTGTGCTTCGTCTTGGGATACAATTTTGAAAAAAAATATTCTTCACTATAAAATCGTTCGTGGTTGCGTTGGGAATACGCGGTTGTTCTTATATCATGAGATTGTGGAAGCCAGCAAGAAATTGAATGTAACCCCTAAAATTTGATGTTTCTCAAATCGAAATTGGGTTTAAAGTTGTTTGTATTTCCTCCGATTTCAATTCCCTTTTCATTTAGGGTTTTTTTTTTATCACTGGTCTTTTTTGTTGTTCTGATTCTTCTCTGTAACGAATTCATGTGTTATGTGTTAATATCTTCGAAATGATCTTTTGGATTTGTAACATTTGACCACTATATCAAAAGATTGGATTGGGTTATCTGTCTTATAGTATCTCTGAGGAATAATTCAATATTCATGGACATTCTCTTGCACTTTTTGTGTAGGTATTCATACAAGCGTGTTCATATTCTCTCAAACATTTACAATGGGGGACTCGGAAAACGCACAGCAACCTTCCAAAAAGAGAGGCGCCTTGAAGCAGCTGACTCGTGAGACTCTAGGTGCTGATGATGATGACGAGACAACTGATCTCGAGACTGGAACTTTCAAGAAGGCCAGTGATGAGGTATTGGCAAGCAGAAGAATCGTCAGAATCAAACGCAAAGAGCCCTCAGCTGCACCAGCCTCAGCACCCAATCCATTTGCTGGAATTCAATTGGTCCCTCCTATTGCACCTGCACCTGCTTTAGCCACTTTTGGAACAAATGCACCTCTGGCTGAGACTGACGTGGCTCCAGCCGAAGCAGTAGTTGAAAAGGCAGTTGATAGCGGCGAGGAAGATGAAGTTGACAGTAAGAAGGTTGATGTCAAAGACGCTGCTGGAGAAGAGACTGAAAAGGCTAAAGATGAGGATAATGTAGACCAGACGGTCTCAGGTGTTACAATCACTAGCAACGTTGTTGAAGGAACAGACCAAACTGAGGATCCTCTTGAGAAGGAATCAGGAGGTGATCAAGCTGAGAGAAAAGAGAAAGAAGGAGAAGAAAGCGAAGAAGCAGATAAGAATGGCGCTTTGAGTTCGTTCCAACAGCATTCGAGTAGCAAAAACGCATTCACTGGACTTGCGAGTACAGAGGGTTCTGGTTCTTCTTCGTTCTCATTCGGTTTGGTCTCTCAGGATGGTGGTTCGACTGGTTCTGGTTCTCTCTTCGGCAACAGCTCTTCCCTTTTCGGTGCGTCTGGATCTTCCATTATCAAGAAGAGTGAAGGTAGTGGGTTTCCACCAAAGCAAGAGGTCTCCACAGAGACAGGAGAAGAGAACGAGAGAGTCGCTTTCTCGGCTGACTCGATAGTGTTTGAGTATCTTGATGGAGGATGGAAAGAGCGTGGGAAAGGAGAAGTCAAGGTCAATGTGTCGAGCAGTGGTGGCAAGGCAAGGTTGGTTATGAGAGCTAAAGGAAACTACAGGCTGATCTTGAACGCGAGTGTGTACCCGGAGATGAAACTTGCAGCCATGGACAAGAAAGGAATCACGTTCGCTTGTGTGAATAGTGTAAGCGAAGGCAAAGAAGGTCTCTCTACATTTGCGCTCAAGTTCAAAGACCCGACGATCGTGGAAGAGTTTCGTGTAGCCATCGAGAAACATAAAGGCAGTAAACCGGTAGAAGAAGAAGCAGAAGCAGCAGCTCTTCCTCTGAAGACACCTGAGAATTCTCCAGCAGCTACAGATGCTTGAAGAGAAAAGGTAAAAAAAAAAAAAGAAACAAACAGAAACATGTAGAAACACTTGTCTTCTTTGTCTTCCGTCTGGTTTTGTTTCTTTCTAGTCGTTGAATTTTGAGGCAGAGAAAATAGAAGTTTGTTTGTTGTTTTTCTTTCCACAGTTGTTGAGACTTAAAATCTGCTTCTTGATCTCTTTATTTGAACCATTTTAATGTGACTGTTCTATATAATTAGTCCGATTTCAAACTGATACTGGCTTTTTTGAGGTTTAGATTTGTTAATTGAAATGTGGATCAGTATTTGATCTGGTATTGTAAGGCAGGTTCTACGAATATGGACCAGTCACGAACGTTTAGTCCATTGTACCAACGACCTTAGTGCGAGATTATGCATATTCATGCATATGTGACATGATAATAGTGGGCCTGGACCTTATGCTATTGACAGCTTGTCACATGTAATTTCTCTAGGCTTCTGAGAGCCCAACGCTGATAATTTAATATTATTTCTATGCGAGGAAGATTATTTGATCGATCATTTTGATTAGGGGTGGCCAAATGGGGTTTTGGATTTAAGTTATTTAGATTACAAAATATTTTACCAAATTCGATCGACATGAAATTTGGATCAAGTTTGTTTTTTCAAGTTTTATAGATTGGGTTCATGTTGTTTGGATCATAAACAATCTGACGAAGATAAACTTAAATATAATATTACTGATTTTTTACTTTCTTAATGGAAATATAACCATTTTAATTAAAAAAAGAAAAAAAATTATATTTGCAAACTCTTCCTTTAGCAAGATTGAATTATCTCATTGTTATTGAGATTTTTGATGTGTTGTTAATCTTTTAATAAATTTATGTTCAGCGTTAAGAAAATATTTTACATACTAAAAAGATTTCAGATTAGAATTCCTAACTGAAAAAAAAAATCAAGATTCGGATCCAAAAACTTTGAATGTTTAAATCAGAGTTAGATTTAAAATATTTTGTGCAGCCGTAGATACCACACAAATTTGAATGAAGGATCTATCCAAACAGTTGTATTGAACAGTGGAGTTATTAAAATAATGCACTTTGTTTGTTTTTCTAAGCACTAAATTCGACTGGGTTTGTGTGCCTAAATAAATTCGATCGACAATGTCAAAAGAAGATACAGCTTGAAAGATAAGATCTTCATAGATTTTTTTTCTAATGACTAAAAGATCTGGACAAATACGTACCCCTGATCATCTTTCAAAATTTGTAGACTTGTAGTTGGTATCTAAGTTTTAGTTCACAAAAAATGTAGTATGTAATAACCAAAAAATGATTGGCAATGAAAAGGGTCTCTTTTGAAAATGACACATTGTTAAAAGAAAATACTATGTGACTAACTGGCAACAGATGTTTGTAAATGATGATCTACTAACCGAATGGTAATGATTGTCAATGTGGGTCTAGATCAGAATAAATTCTCATCATCATCTAGGGACTCAGAATAATTGGCCTCTCGTGACATCTAATTATATGAAAGATCAGTTCTATTAGCCAAAAAAAATCTATAACTTTATTAGTTTACAATTTTCTCCAAAAATGAAAACCTAAAACTATATTTCATATAAGAAAAGGCGCCAAGAGCTTTATAGTCGATTCCCAGATTATATGATTTTGGCAGATTAACAGAAAAAAGTTTATAGAAAATCTCTAGTGTAATGTAAGAAAATTTGTTCGTTGTAGTATAATGGTAAAGATAAAATCATCCATCATAAATACTTATGATAGATAAATTCCGTCTATAGTGGATCTTTGTAGAGTGGATAAAATTATAAATTGAGAATTTGTTTTTGCTAGTATTGGGAATATGCAAGTATTAAAAGCATATTAATTATTCCATCTGTTTTCAATTGATAAAAATTAAGGATTTTTACACATTACAAAAAAAATAAAAATAATAAATACATCATTTGAAAAAACTAAACAATTTTTACTACTCTAAACTAATAGTAATTCGAATCCGAATCCACTCTATTAGTTTATAAATATGAATACGTATCATATTAGTTCTTAAATATGAATCCGAATCTATTTACATTTACAAAAAAAATGAACCAACTTGGTTTTCACCCAAAAGAAAAGAAAAAACAGTTTAGACTTCAAAGTTAGTTGGGTCTAATTAAATGCATGCACGCATGAAAACATGCAACACGTGGACTGTGAAGAATGACCATACCTAATAAATCTCAGTGTCATGGGGTCAGTGTGTCACTATCGCGGTCCGGTGAGGATAAGCCATTAAGTCCTCTCCAGAAACAATAATTGCTGATTTTTTCTTTCAAATGAAATCACAATGTGTCAAAAAAGTTTCTTTATAGTTTATAGCATTTTGATGAATATATTCGACGCTTTGCGAAGTGTGGGTCGAGTTGGGTTGGTGGTGAACGGTTGTGTGACATGATCTATTTAATGTAATTCATAGCGTCTCAAAGTTGGTGTTCGTGAATGATTAGTAGATCAAGATTTAATGGGGGTGGGGGTTTAGAGTCGTTACGAAAGGTGTTATTAGAGAATGTTATAGCTTTGGGGTGTCCGTGGGAGAGTTGTTTATGCGGAATAATGGGTTACAAAAGAGCACGAATCTCATTGTTTCTTTCTATTAAGATGCGATTCCCTATACTTACTTCCTCTAGATACAGTCATACTTATATACTACAATGAATTATTCCGATGGCAGCGGTGATGTGGGGCAGAGGGGCTGGTGGTGTGGGTGTGGGGTGCGGGTGGGTGGGGAGATGGTGGGGAGGTGGGGGGGTGGGGGGGTGGGCGCTGGTGATATACTTTATGGGGTTCGCTCTCCGGGTGGGGGGGGTGGGTGGGGTTGTGGGGGTGGCGGACAGGCAGTGGCCGCGTGGGATGCGAGTGGAGGGCAACTTATTGACATTATTCCTCAACGAACTAATTCAATCGTTCAGTAGATTCTGAAAATTTTCATCCCGAATTATTTGCTGCAAAAATGAATTGAAAGCATTCACAACCATTACCAATCAAACTTTAACGTTTTTTTGTTTTCCTCCAAACTTTAACGTATCAAAAAGCAACACTCAGGTGCAGGGGCGGAGCTAGAATTATTTTGCACGAGGGTCATATATAAAACAAATGGTACAAAAGGGTCATATGAAAAAATTTGAACTTGAGACAAGGGGGTCATTTGACAATATTTAAACCAAATTAGTTATCAAACACATAACAAATATAGATGAAAATAAATATTTATAAAAGTAGTAGGGGTCAGCTGACCCCCTTCCTCTCCACCTAGATCCGCCCCTGCTCAGGTGGCAATACTTTATTCCTCAGAGAGGGCAACACTTATTTTTGTAAAGAAAAGGACATCTAAGTCTCCATGCTTAGTGTAAAGAGTTATGTGACATAGTGTAGTATTAGATAAGGTTACTATATATCCAGTTACTCAGGATATTTTTGACAAAGACAACACTTTCGCATTTGTTCATCATCATGATTCATGAATATTGCACCTGTAACGAGATTAGAGAACGCAAGTATAGTTTTTGTTAGGGCACGTCTTTTTCTGTACTGGTTAACACTGACGTAGTAACTAACAAATAGTTTGGTCACATTTCCTGTTTTTTTTTTCTTTCGCGGTATTCACATTTCACCTTTTCCTTATTTTACTACGGTCTTTAACAGCTTCGATCGGACAAATTTCCAAAACCATTTTTCATTTTCTTTTAGGTTCAAAATTCCTTAAAATAAAAAAAAAATATATATATATATATATATATTATTGGAAAAAACAAAGATTATAATCTTTCGTATAAAATTTAAGGTTGTGACATATTTCTATTTCAAATTTTCAGCACTACCGGATATATTGAATCATATATTTGAAAGTATTTGAGTTTTTAATGAGTTTTGAACGAATTAGATTTTTTTTTATAATTCATTATTAAAGTACTCTACCATTTTTGTTCCCTTTTATAAGTTTTGTCTATATTAAAGCGTATAAACTGCAATAAATAATATATATATTTCCGTTGTTAAAAGTATTATTTTCATACTAAATTAAAATATTATTTTCATACTAAGTATTATTTTCAATCTAACTAACCAGTAGAAAACAGTACTTCATAAATACTAGCTATTACGACTTTTTTTTTGGTCGGGAGCTATTACGACTTAGTTGTCGGTCAAAAAATATATTAGGAATTAGTTGTATAAACAAAAATAAAGGAATTTTCGTTTTCATTTCTAAACCATTATTTAATTTTATCAAAATGCAGACATTAATTTCTCACTAGTTGCAAGTTACAACTAGCGATATTAATGCATAGTTTTTCTATTAAACTAATACATAATAATTGGCGCAGTAAAATCGTTGGTCAAGTGAATAACGATGGTGTAGTTGTTTCTTACTTAATCAAAACAGAATGTTAGAGTACACAGCAAGGAATGTATACTATAAGATAATTACATATATATGAATTTGTCGTGAAAGCTTTCAGACCCACTTTTCAGTTTTCTCAGTAGCGAACCTTTCCATATATAAAACATTTCAAAGTTGTACATTTCGTAGGCTACAGCTACATGTTAAAACTTTATCAAAAAAGAAACTTCCTATATAAAGATGTTTTTTTGGTTGATAAAACCGTATAGAGGTGGTTACCAAAAAAACATTTATATATCCATAGAAAATAAAATAACAAATATAGGAAAATTTAATGATATGATACAAATAACCATATATATATATATGTGTGATCTTAATGATTTTTTTTATATCAAATTACAACAGTACGTTAAATTATTGGCTGATACTTGAATATAATTAAACGGTTTCTATTTGCTTCTAGACACCTATAAAGAGCCACCTGCTTGATTTAACTTAAACTAACTCTAATATAATATCAATGCACTTAACAAAGACACAACTCCGTATATAAATACCACAAGCTCCCTCCCTTCATCTTCAACAATTTCCTCGTCTTTAGAGAGTGAGTGAGTGAGAGAAACACAAAATGGTGAGATTCGAGAATGTCCCTTTACTGTTAGGATTAGTTCTGGTTATAACTCTGGCCGGAGCTCCTCCGACAAAAGCCGCTGGACCTGTTTGCCGTGACGCTGAGAAGTTTAGCAGAGCTAGCTTCCCTGAAGGCTTCCTTTGGGGAACCGCGACCGCAGCGTTTCAGGTCTATCTTTAGAAACAAAATATCTTTGTAACGATAATGTATTTTTTGTTGCACTATTTTTTCTTTATTGACCTATTTGTTATTATTATGTGGTAAATAGGTAGAAGGAGCTGTTGACGAAGGTTGCAGAGGGCCAAGCATGTGGGACACTTTTACTAAGAAATACCCACGTATGTTAACATGTTTTCTTTCCTTATTTATCATCGATATACTGATGTTGAATTGTTGATACTTGAATTACACACACGCTGAAATAAATTTGCAGATAGGTGTCAAAACCATAATGCTGATGTGGCTGTGGATTTCTACCATCGTTACAAGGTGATTTTTTTTTTTTTTTTTTTTTGGTTGATAAAAGTTGAAATTTTGTTTTCCTTTTGTTTTTTTTTCCTTGTAAAATAAATATTTTTTGGTGATTAGTATTTTTTTTTTAAATATTTGAATATTAACAGGAAGATATCAAGTTGATGAAAGACCTCAACACTGATGCTTTTAGACTTTCTATTGCGTGGCCCAGAATATTCCCCCGTAAGAATTTTAGTTATTTTTCCCCTCTAAATGTTTTTTTTTTGATAAAGTTCCCCTCTAAATGTTGATTAATACAGTATGTTAGTTGTTATTAGAAACATTGTTAAATATTAATCGTTGCAAATCGTTAGGATAAAAAATGATATGAAAATAACAAGTGGAAATGCAAAATAAATAACAGATGGAAGGATGTCTAAGGGAATAAGCAAACAAGGAGTCCAATTCTACCACGACCTCATTGATGAGCTTCTCAAAAACAGTAACAAAACATTTCGTCTTCTAAAATGACATTGAGTATATAATCATATCATAATATCAGTTAGTAATAGTAATACTAACAATTATATTGTTTTATTTTCCTTTGGAAATTTAGATATAACTCCACTAGTAACAGTCTTTCACTGGGATACTCCTCAAGACTTGGAAGATGAATACGGTGGTTTCCTGAGTGGTAACATTGTGTAAGTTTTTACTGTTTCATGTATACAATTTATTATTTTCGTAACTTTTTTTTTTAAAAAGCTCAAATATATAAGATTGATATAATGAAAACCCTTTAGCAAAAAAAAAAAAAAAAAAAAAATTGATATATATACTGATATACAGGAAGGATTTTACGGAGTATGCAAACTTTACTTTTCATGAATACGGACACAAAGTGAAAAACTGGATCACATTCAATGAACCATGGGTGTTTAGTCGTGCCGGTTACGACGTCGGAAAAAAAGCTCCGGGACGTTGTTCACCGTACATTGAAGAATGGGGAAAGTACTGTGAAGATGGACGGTCAGGATTCGAAGCTTATCAAGTCAGTCACAACTTACTCTTGTCTCATGCTGAATCCGTTGATGCCTTCAGAAAATGCAAACAGGTTATCTATATCACAAGTCTATTCTTTTTTTTTTTTTATTATCTTTTATTAAATAGTACTTATTTTTTCGTTTTAAACTTTTAAAAAAATAAATAAATAGTGTGCTGGAGGTAAAATTGGAATTGCACACAGTCCAGCTTGGTTCGAACCAGCCGACCTTGAAGCTGTTGGAGGTACCATTGAACGTCTGCTTGATTTCATCCTGGGATGGTAAAACAATTAGCACATTCAAATAAGTGTTTACACTAATTAAAAATGTATTAAATGAATTTGAAAATAAAATAAAATCAGGCATTTGCATCCAACAACTTTCGGAGATTATCCACAGTCGATGAAAGATCGGATTGGTCATAGATTGCCAAAATTCACAGAAGCTGAAAAGAAAAAGCTGAAAAAATCTACAGATTTTGTGGGAATGAATTATTATACATCATCGATTGTAGCTAATATGAAGGAACCAAATCCTAAGAGCCCTAGTTGGGAGATGGATTCTCTGGTTAAATACGAAAGTAAGGATTCAAATTATATATCTTCTTTGTTATAATTATATAATACAATTCCGTTATTTATTCGCGTTGTTCAATTAACCAGGCAAGACTGTGGACGGATACAAAATTGGGAGCAAGGTAACTTGAACTTTTTATTACTATTTTGTTGTTACTTAGTAATATATAGTCTCCTAATACATGATTAATCATTGATTTTTCCCCCCTCCCATTAATTAGCCTGCTGGTGGTAAATTGGATGTGTATTCAAAAGGTTTGAGAAAACTTTTGAAGTATATAAAGGAAAATTATGAAGACCCAGAAATTTTGATAGCCGAGAATGGTTAGAGACAATGTTCAAATCTCATTTAATTTCTTATCAATTTCAATTCTATTGTATCTACAACAAAATTGAATTCGATTTTTGTTTTGGTTTTTAAAAAAGGATATGGAGATGACCTTGGGGAGTATCACAATGACTTAACACATGGGACAAATGACCACAACAGGAAATATTATCTCCAAAGGCATCTCTTGAGTTTGCACGAAGCCATTTGGTAAGTAAATATTCAGATGGAAAATTGAAAAACGTTAATTATAGTGGTAAGTAAATAACTAATTAACGTGATGATCATAATGTTCTCTTTTAGCGATGACAAAGTAAACGTTACGGGATATTTCGTGTGGTCTTTGATGGACAACTTTGAGTGGCAAGATGGATACAAATCGAGGTTCGGGCTTTACTACATCGATTTCCAAAACAATTTGACTCGTCACCAGAAACTTTCGGGTAAATGGTATTCTGAATTCCTCAAGCCTGGATTTCCAACTTCCAAGATATCCAAGGACGAACTCTAAGATCAAAGGGATCAATATCAACCTGTGTGTTTCTGTGTTACATGGATCGTCTTTAATTATCGTTTTTATCAATGGCTTGTTCCTATGTTAGCAAGACTTGTGAGTTGTTCCGAGTTCTTGTTCGTAATAATAAAAAAAAGTAACATGGTACTGCTTTCTTCTTTTTAGTTTTCGTTGAATTTTAATTTTAAATATGCAACTAACATGGTTTTTTACGCACATTCACACCATGTTTCACGTACACTTTGTCACATTCACATGTTCCACGTTGAGACGATCTTTAACGGGCAGCCCTTGGATGCGACGACACGCGGAAACCACGCATTTAATATAAACGATTTGCACTTATTGCTCGTTAGTATAAATGGTTCACTTATTGAAACCAGAAAAAAAAAAAAAAAAAAGTTTCGAAAGCGATAGATAGAGAGAAGAGAATACAGTTATGTTGCAGCTAATTGGAATTTTCCGAATCTTGTATTTACTAAAGGATCGTCGTTTTGGTTTAAAACTGTACAAAGCCCAGTAAACTGTACTAAATTGTACAAGGTCCAATCTAATGGCGAAAATACACTTCTTCTAAAAGCTAAAAAGTGAAAACTATGTCGTTTCAGAGCTTCCTAACCCAATGAAATTAGGACTTGAAATTAAATCAGGACTTGAGAGAGCATTAAGTGGAGAATTAAAGAAAGCAACAAAATTAGAAGAAGCAGAGACACTCCCCTCCTACTTCGTCTTCGTCTTCGTCGTCATCTTTGTTCCAGCTCTCATCTCCGAAGACGAATTACTGAATTTCAAGGTAAGCTTCTCTTTTCTCGTCTCTTCCTACTTCGTCTTCATCATTTTTTTTTTTTTTCTGTTTCTAGTTTCCGGTGAACGCCATTGACTTGATGTTTCGTGTTGACTCTTTGTTTCGCATTAATAGAATTGCTGCAAAATCGCGTCAATAAGCTGCGTTTCCGTTCGATTCCTACTTCAGAAGCTCCAATACTTGAGAATCGGCGGATCCATACTCAGCTTCTGGCAAGTGTAAGTTTGTAACTGACCGATCGCTGCATTTATAGCTTCTCTCTCTTTTTCAGTCTCCGAAATTCTCAGAATGATTATCCAATTCTAATGCTTGTTTTCTGGGAATCCTAAGAAGATATTAGATTCAAAATGCTTATGCCTCTGGAATTGTATAATCTGAGAATTTGCGGAGTTTCCTCCAGATTTAGCTTAATTTTTACTGAATTTCAAATACCTACAATGCAGGTCACTGGAGGAGTTTAGATCTGAATTGTAACCTTAAACGCGCCCATAATTCTTCTTAGTACCAGAATTTTGGAAAATAAGAGTTTGATGAACTTGGAATTTGTGGAGTTTTCTCCAGATTTGGTTTTTGGAATAATGAGTTTCATGTAGCCAAATGTAGGCGAGGGGACGTATTTTGATCTGAATTGTAACCAGCTATACTACATAAAACGTTCCTATAGTTTCTTCTAGTATCAGATTTTTGGTAACTAGAGTTTGATGAACTTGAATTAGAAGTGAGACTGCTATCATTGATATACGTTGTAGACTGATTGCATGATTTCCTTTTTCTAGGTTGCGGTTTTGGAGCTCCTGGACTTGGAGTTGTTTGATTTTTCTAGCTCCTATTGTGACTGATTTGATATTTGTGATGATATCATAATCTTGAAATCATGGAGGAGGTTCGGTTATCGCCGCTGAGACAAACGAGCGTTAAGTCTACACTTTCAGGGAGGTCTACTCCAAGGGGCTCACCTAGAGTGCATTCTGGTAGGACACCGCGTAGAGAGGGCAGAGGAGGAGGAGCGGTTCAGTGGTTTCGTAGTAGCAGACTGGTTTACTGGCTGCTTCTGATTACTCTTTGGACGTATCTTGGGTTTTATGTTCAGTCCAGGTGGGCTCATGATAACGAAAACAAAGTTGAGTTTCTACGGTTTGGAGGCAAACTGAGAAAAGATGTTTTACATGTGGAGAAGCATGTGGAGAAGAGCAATGGAACGGGTGGTGTTGTTGCTAATGAGACTTCTGATGCTTTGGTAAGTATCACCGGTAAAGATGATGCTGCGGCGAGTAAGAGGACGGATGTTAGTCTGAGCAAGAAAGATGACGGTGCTTCTCGACGGAGCTTGAGTTCCAGGCAGAAGAAAAAGAAGCCTGGCCGGGCTTCACGTAGTAAGATGAGTAAAGAGGTTGAGACTAAGGCCTTGGATGATGAGCAAGATCCAGAGCTTCCTATGACGAATGCTACTTATGGTAAGCTTCTTGGTCCTTTTGGATCGTTGGAGGATAGAGTTCTTGAATGGAGTCCGCATAGACGGTCTGGGACTTGCGACAGGAAGTCAGATTTTAAACGCCTTGTTTGGTCGAGGAGGTTCGTCTTGGTTTTCCACGAGCTCTCAATGACTGGTGCTCCGATTTCGATGATGGAGCTGGCTTCAGAGCTTTTGAGCTGCGGCGCAACGGTCAATGCAGTAGTTCTCAGCAGGAGAGGTGGGTTGATGCAAGAGCTCAACAGGAGAAGGATCAAAGTTGTTGAAGACAAAGGAGAAGTTAGCTTCAAGACTGCCATGAAAGCAGATTTGGTCATCGCAGGATCAGCTGTGTGTACCTCATGGATAGATCAATACATGAATCATCATCCAGCTGGTGGAAGTCAGATAGCTTGGTGGATAATGGAGAATCGAAGAGAATACTTTGATAGAGCGAAACCAGTGCTTGACCGAGTGAAAATGCTTATCTTTCTATCTGAATCACAGAGCAAACAGTGGTTAACATGGTGCGAGGAGGAGAGTATAAAGCTAAGATCACAACCAGTGATTGTTCCACTCTCTGTTAACGACGAGTTAGCTTTCGTAGCTGGGATTCCTTCCTCGCTCAACACACCAACACTCACTCCAGAGAAAATGAAGGAGAAGAGACAAACGCTACGCGAATCAGTCAGAGCAGAGTTAGGTTTAACAGACGCAGATATGCTTGTCATGTCTCTCAGCAGCATAAACCCACCAAAGGGACAACTTCATCTCCTTGAATCTGTTGCCTTGGCACTCGCTGAGAGAGAACAAGAAGGTCAGAGGAGTCTCAAAGGCGTCACTAAGAAAGAAAAAGTCAGTCTCTTAAGCAAACATCGTCTAAGAGGCTCTGCTCGGCAGATGCAAAGTGTTTCTCACACACTTGACAATGGCGTAATTAAGGAGAAGCAAGAGCTCAAAGTTCTTTTGGGATCAGTTGGTTCAAAGAGCAACAAAGTTGGATACGTCAAAGAGATGCTAAGCTTCTTATCAAGCAATAGAAACTTATCCAAGTCGGTTATTTGGACTCCAGCAACAACTCGTGTTGCTTCGTTATACTCTGCAGCTGATGTCTACGTTACAAACTCTCAGGTAATAATTAATCCTCCTCTGACCTCAAAAACATTATTCAATACATTGACAAAGCTAATAGGCTCTAATTGAACATTTCTCTACAGGGCGTTGGAGAAACATTTGGGAGAGTAACAATAGAAGCAATGGCGTATGGACTTGCAGTGGTGGGAACAGATGCAGGAGGAACGAAAGAGATGGTGCGACACAACGTGACCGGTCTGCTTCACTCAATGGGAAGATCAGGGAACAAAGAGCTGGCTCGTAATCTCTTGTTTCTACTTAGAAATCCAGACAAAAGGCTACAGTTTGGTGTCCAAGGACGTAAAAAAGTTGAGGAAATGTACATGAAGCAACATATGTACAAGCGATTCGTTGACGTTCTTGTCAAATGTATGAGACCATAAACACTTTTGATCGTAACAATTTATGTCATGCTATATTCTTTGGAGATATTGGGTTTTTTTTTTTTGGGTTTACTACATAATATAAATCTATAAACTCTGTGAGTAGATAAGATTATTAAACATAGAAGATTGGTTATAAGTTGATACAAAGAGTCCTACAACCACATTGTATTTTCGACATGATCATGGATCGCATATATGATAACATAATAACCAGGTCTATATTTTTTGGTATTGATCTCCGGACTGGTATCTCGGAATTCAACTATGCTCCATCTGGGTTTCTCCTTTTTATAATAGTAAACACACAATGGACCATCAAAGGTTTCTCTGCGGTAGAAAAGTGTCCCATCAACGTTATAAATATTGGATCTTCTTCCAAGATTGACTTCCTTCTCCCAATGTGAAAACATAAACAGATTGCTTCAACTCTTGAGAGTCAAGAAACATGGACAAGACTTTGTATTGATTCGTGACCGGGTCGTATCCAAAGTGGCAGTGAGTCCTCTGATCATTGAACCGTGCCACTTGGGCTTCATCAATCTCTGGTAAAGGAACGCACTGCCTCGTGGTAGGGTTGTATATAGTAACCAAGTGAGATACTGACGAATAACAGCATATCAAGCCTCGAGCGTATATATACTCTAACGAATGGCATGAATCGTCAACTGAATATAATCCAGGGATTGACACTGCATGTGTGGTTGTCTCAAGGGAAGTGGACGAGACAATGAAGAAGGCCTGGGGCCTTCTATGGTGTAAGATGAAAAGGGGAAGCTTATGCGCCGGCTGAGCTAAAGACCGAGTCACGATCGAGTCGATGAAGTCTCTACGGCTGCCGATAATGGTCGACCATTCCTTTGAGACGCTTCGGAACCTCACAAGTGATTTTGCCGGTAGTTTCTTGAGTATCTCCACGATGAGATCGAGAGGGATACAATCATCTCCCCATCTTTCTTCTTCATGGTTGTTCTCTTCATCTCCTCCCTTCATGACGTCTGTTTGTCGTCTTCTTTTGTAAACCCTAATCATGATGTAGAATTGTGAACGGCGAAGTGAACCAATATATGTATATATAGACACGGTTTTTACTATAAAGTCTCTGACCTAATATACATTAATTCAATTTCTATGTACAGTAATTAAATGTAGACCATAATTTATAATCTAATTACACGAGTCATATTCAAAGTCTTAATATTTTGGAAGATCAGTGTAATTCTTTCCAGCACAAAATGCCACTGAGGACACTAATTAATGACTCTGACTCAATATTATGATTTTTTTTCCAAATCTTTCGGACCTTAATGTTGGTTCAAAGAGCAACAAAGTTGGATACGTTAAAGAGATGTTAGTCAAGCAATGAAAACTTATCCAAGTCAGTCATTTGGACTCCCGCAACAACTCGTGTTGCTTCATTTTACTCTGCAGCAGATGTTTACTTTACCAACTCTCAGGTAGTAAAAGTCCTCCTCAGACCCCAAAAACATTATTCAATAAATTAACAAAGCTAATAGGTGGCTCTAATTAAACCTTTTTCTACAGGGCGTTGGAGAGACATTTGGGTGAGTTACAATAGATGCAATGGCGTGACCGGTCTACTTCACTCAATGGGAAGATCAGGGAACAAAGAGTTGGCTAGCTACTAATCTCTTGTTTCTACTTAGCAATCCATACAAAAGGTTACAGTTTGGTACCGAAGGATGTAGAAAAGTTGTGGAAATGTACATGAAGCAACAACATAAGAGCAGCGATTCGTCGACGTTCTTGTCAGATGCATGAGATTATTAATACAACCTTGCAGCCTATAACCACCATAGAAGATAAAGATCGATTGATATGAAAAAGGTTATAAGTTGATACAAAGAATCCTACAACCACATTGTATTTTCGACATGATCATGAATCGCAAATACGACAACATAATAATTTTTTTGGGGTTCTAGGAAAATAACTTTTCTGCATGTGGGTTTCTCCTTGTTATAATAGTAAACATTCGGTGACCCACAAGAGTACCTTTTAGTCACAAAGATGTTACCAGCAGGGGTGACACCTGATGAGACGTTGTAACCTTCCAACCAAAGCAATGTGTCGGAATCGGGCATGGAAAAAGTAATCTTGGACCATTCTTGTTTCTCGGTATTCTCCATAATCCACAAACTTGTCTCGGTTGTACTGCTACAATCTAAGCATCCTAACTTCCCTAGATAGTTTACCAAGGTTCGACGACAACCCACATCACCACTTGACAATGCTTTTAACATCGACTCTGGGGCACAGACATGATCAAATCTTTCCGACTTAATGTCGAAACTAAGCAATACAGTTTCCATTTCGTTTAGTCTTTTAGCTCCGTAATAGATAGTCCCGTCAACGCATACCCCAGGGCCCGCTGGAAAGGGTTTCTCGTCAAAGGCTTCTTGGATTATCCTCCAAGATTGACTTCCTCCCACTGTGAAAACATAAACAGAGTGCGTCAACAATCGAGAGCCAGTAAGAAAGAACAAGACTTTTTATTGATTCGTGACAGGGTCGTATCCAAAGTGGCAGTGAGAATGGTGATATAGGAACTGTGTCACTGGTGGTTTGACGATCTCTGGTAAAGGAACGGACTGCCTCGTGGTAGGGTTGTATATAGTAACCAAGTGAGATACTGGCGAATAACAACAGATCAATCCTCGGGCGTATATATACTCGAACGAATGGCCTGAATAGCCAACTGAATCTGATCCAGGGATCGATACTGCATGTTTGGTTGTCTGAGGGAAAGTGGACGAGACAGTGAAGAAAGCTTCGGGCCCTGTATGGTGTAATATTAAAAGGGGCCACTGAGCTGAAGATCGAGTCACGATCGAGTCGATGAAGTCTCTACGGCTGCCGATAATGCTTGACCATTCCATTGAGACGCTTCGGAACCTCACAAGTGACTTTGACGGTAGTTTCTTGAGTATCTCCACGATAAGATCGAGAGGGATACGAAAATCTCCCCATCTTTCTTCTTCATGGTTGTGCTCTTCATCTCCTTTCTTCGTGGTGTCTGTTTGTCGTCTTCTTTTGGAAACCCTAAACATGATGTAGAATTGTGAACGGCGAAGAGAACGAATATATGTATATATTGACACGGTTTTTACTATAAAGTCTCTGACCTAACATACATTAATTCAATTTCTATATAATTAAATGTAGACCTTAATTTTTGTTTTTGTTTTAGTATAATTTTAAAACAAAATGAACATTCTTAATTTCTTATACCATCATTTAAATATTTTATTTTTTCTCAAAAAAGTAATTTGTTTAACCATTCACACGTACACGTTGGTGAGAAAAATAATTAATCATTTCATTAATTTGATATTTTGCTTGTAGGAATGTATTTTTTTTTTTTTTTTTTTTTCAAACTCTTAATTCTATTAATTAAGCTTTGGGGTTACACAAGGCAGAGGGAATTAACCATCCTCTTTGAATACTACCATACATCATAAGAAAAACAAAGCAAAAGATAGATAAATCTTCATGTGACAGCAGGTTATAAGCAGAGCTTAAACGCGTCGGAAGATACATCACGGCCTGGCCGGATTTTTGTAGCCTAGTCACGATCATAAGTGAGATCAAAAGTGACGTTAAAACAGAGCTTCTTCCTCCAAAATTTGATGAATCAATTCCGGTTGCATCTTCACTTTCCATGTAGACAGAAACAAAAGATAACAAAAAGGTCAGAAGGTTGTAGAACTTACTCGGGTGTGAGTCCGAGAAGCATCCACTTCTCATGGAGAAGGGAAAAGGTGGTAATGTTCTCTCTCTGTAAAGAGAGGAAGGTGGGAGCGAACTCTCCATGCCAACGGAGGAGGTTGAAATGTTAAACAACTCCCAAACAAGAAGAGCTGAAAACATTCCGGCATTGGGTCTTCGGACAGATTCACGAAGCTGTGAGACCTTACTGTCAAATTGAGCCGCAACTTCAGTTCGACTATCTTTAAAACACGTTGAAAAGAGCTTTCTTGATAGAGACTTCTTCAAAACAGAGCTCGTTGTGGGCAAGACATGGACGAAGTCCAGAAATATACAACACCGGTACAAGATATGCAAATTGACAATGGCGGGAATCCAAGATCCCGATGTCCCTTCGCCGGCGAGGAGTAGGACGGAAAGCTTCAAATGGCCAAAGCTTTGAGGAATGATGGAGGAGAGGATGGTGAATATGAACGGAGCTGTGAAAGAAGACTCGTCGAGGCTACAGCTTATTCCGACCAGATCGAGGACAGTTTGAAGATGAAAACTAAACCAGAGACCTTGAGCTTTCGACGGTGAGAATGGGCACCATGAATAACATGGGAAAGGGCCAAGCCCCAGAGCAGGTGTGCAGCAGCAATCCATGGAGGACAATATGGGCCAAAACCATAGCAAATCAGGACCGAAGAGAGATTGAGAGTTGTACTGTAGCGGCCTGAGATCGGACAAGATGCCGGAGCAGAGAACAAGTCCGGCGACAACAATAGCAGATGGAGGCGACTGATGATACTCTGTCAAAGGCAGAGGATGCGGATGGTGAGAGTGAGGTTCAGGGTCTCCAAGCTGAAGGTAAGCCAGAAATAGGCAGTGTGACCGCAGATCCGGTGGTTCCGGCGGAAGTTTCGGCAGAGCCGGAAGTAGACTCACTCGGAGGTGAGAGAGAACCGGCGAAAAAGCTTGTGTCTTTGGTGGGTTGAAGGAAAGGATCGAGAGCTCTGTCCTCACGAGCTCCATAGATCCCGTCGCTGTTACCACCAAAGAGAGCGATTGACCGGAGAAAACACGAGTAAAAAGAGATCTCGTCGACGGCGCCGACGGAAGTTCGAACAAAGTCATCAGACAACCAAAACAGGGGTCCGGGAAAGAGGAGAGCTCCGATCTCAGGAGGAAAATCCCCGGTGAAGGAGAAACATCCCCAGATCGGAGCTTGAGCGGCGGTGGAGAGACTGCTTTGGGAGTCGGGCCAGAGAGAAAACCAATTAGGGCGAACTCGCGATTTTTTTATGAATCTAATACTTAATTTCCAAAATCACTAGGAATGTATTTTTCTTCCCCAAATATTAAAAGCGGAACTAAATGAGTAAAAGCGCGCCAAGGGAACCGGAGAGAACAAATCCCTAATTACGCCGACGAGAAAACATGCCGGAGCTTCCGGAGGTAGAGGCGGCGAGGAGAGCGATAGAGGAAAATTGTCTAGGGAAGAAGATTATGCGAGTCATCATCGCCGACGACAGCAAAGTGATCGATGCAATCTCGCCGTCCGATTTCCAAACCTCAATCCTCGGGAAAACCATCGTCTCTGCTCGTAGAAAGGGGAAGAACCTCTGGCTCGAGTTAGATTCCCCTCCATTTCCTTCTTTCCAATTCGGTAATTTACTCTGAAACCAATTTAGGGCTTTTGGTAGATAAAAATCGAACATTTGCCGAAAATGAATAGTTCAATTCTCGACCTTTTAGACTTGAGTAGACTTTGATGCATGAGAAAGGAGTGAAAGTGTAAAGCTTTATCGTTTCTTATAATAAAAAATTTGGTTTTGATTTGATGAGTTTCTTCAGGTATGGCTGGAGCTATCTATATCAAAGGCGTTGCAGTTACTAAATATAAGAGGTGAGATTTATAGAGTCCGTGAAGCCATTATTGTATTACATTTTCTTTGTTTAAGTAGAAGATTAATATCAGAACAAGATTGATATGTATTACATTTTTTTTTTTGGTATAGATCTGCTGTAAAGGACTCAGAGGAGTGGCCATCTAAGTATTCAAAGTTCTTCGTTGAGGTCGAGAAATTTATCATTTTCTTTTTATATGATTATTGACACGAAAATGTGCTCAGTACTTGCTTCAATGACAATGAAATTCTGATTTTTTTTGTGTGTGTGCAGCTTGATGATGGTTTGGAGCTTTCATTCACTGACAAGAGGAGATTTGCCAAAGTTCGGCTTTTAGAAAATGTATAAACGCACAACGAAGTCTATCTTGCTTGTTTCTATTAAGCTTTATATGTGGTTGATTGTTTAACTTTGATATTTGCTGTTGCAGCCGGCTTCTGTGCGTCCAATATCAGAGCTTGGTCCTGATGCATTGTTGGAGCCTATGACAGTTGATGCATTTGAGAAGAGCTTAGCCAAAAAGAAAATAACCATAAAACCTCTCCTACTTGATCAGGTTCAGAGCTTCTTTCATTGTTCTCTCACATTAGCGTGTGTTTTGAATTATGTAGCTCTCCTCTTTTCCAGGGCTTTATTTCAGGTATTGGGAACTGGATCGCCGATGAAGTGTTGTACCAAGTAAGTGAGCTTTAAATCCTCATTTTAATTCACAAAGTATACACTTTTGTTTCCAAATTTGTACATTATATGACTCAATTTACATGGTGTAGGATTTATTCTGCTTGTCTTTCTCTTTCGCAGGCCAGAATCCACCCGTTGCAGACTGCTTCTAGCCTCTCCAAAGAGCAATGTGAAGCTTTGCACACATCCATCAAAGAGGTAAAGACTCTTACAAACCCCTCTAAAAAACATTACCTACAAAACATGAGGATAACAGAAGGATCCGTTAAATGCATTTGTAGGTCATTCAACATGCGGTTCAAGTGAATGCTGATAGCAAAGAGTTTCCTGTTGAATGGTTATTTCATTTTCGGTGGGGGAAGAAACCGGGGAAAGTTAATGGTAAGCTTTTCCCACCCATCTATGATTAACTTTGATGAAAAGCATAATTGGGTTTTTGCAGGTGATTGAAAAAGCTGTTGAAGTTGATGCAGACACTAGTCAGTTCCCTAGTAACTGGATTTTTCATGCTAGGGAAGGCAAGCCAGGAAAGGCTTTTGTTGATGGTCTGAATCTGAATCCCAGATTTCACACTGAAAAACTCTTTATGTAGATGTAACAGTTCATGAAACTTCTCGAACTAGAGTTGATAATCCCCACAATGATGGCTTAAATGTCAAAAGAGTGAACTGTGATCGGTAATGAGTCTAATGACTAATGAAGTTTGTTTTGGTTGTTCCAGGGAAGAAGATTGATTTCATCACTGCTGGTGGAAGGGTAAGTATCTATATGCATTTGTTAGGCATTGGTATTGTGTGGGTGATATGGAGTGAACGGAATATAATGTTTTTGTGTAGACAACAGCTTATGTTCCAGAGCTGCAGAAACTCACTGGGAAAGACGCTGAGAAAGCAACCAAGGTTAGACCGGCTAAAAGAGGTGTGAAGTCAACAGAAGAGGATGGAGACGGAGAAGAAGATGAACAAGAATCAGAGAAAGAAGATGACAGTGCTAAACCGAAGAAAGGACAGAAACAGAAACCAAGGGGTCGTGGTAAGAAGCCTGCATGGAAGAGAAAAACAGAAGATAGTGATGAAGAAGACGATGATGCTGAGAGTGGAGATGATAGTGAAGCTCAAGAGGAAGCTACTAAACCTAGAAGGCGTTGTACAAAGCCTGTTACAAAGAGGAAACCTGAAGAGAAAGTTGCTAGTCAAGCTGGTAACAAGAAGCCAAAGGGAAGGAAAAAATGAGAATCCAACAGCTCCAAGATTTTTATTTTTTGTTGGCAGCTAAGGCTAATCTCATATTTTGTAAGAAAGTATGTTGGAAATGTGGGATGTCTATTAGGCTTTGTGATACTACTAGTATAAGGATTTTGTTGGTTACCTTTGTCCTTTGTTTGATGAATTTGGAAGTCAGAAAAACCCTCGGAGGGCAGCAACAACTTTCTCTGGCCTGTATACAAAGTTCAAAATTAAGAAAGATTGAAAAGAACTAAAAGCCAAGCAGCGCAATATCGTGTGTATCAACATACCAGTCTTCCTGAGGCAAATGGCCAGCTCCTTCAATGAGTCGAAGCTTGACATTTTGAGGGTTCTGTTTCTCAAATTCCTCTGCTATTGACTGAGGCAAGTATTTATCAGCTATTCCCCAAGCCACAAGCATTGGCTTATCCCAGCTGTGAAGGAACCAAATCTCAGCACAGAACCAAACCTTATCTCTCTAGTCATGTGAATGAATTTCAGAGAAAAGATAACTAATCCATGTACCTGCCTGATGAAAAACCATTTGCAATTTGACTCAAGGTGTCTCCGAAGTTGATCTTTTTCGCAGTCTCGAGCAAGGCTAATACATCAGAAACTCACTATGAGAAATCTCTTACATAATAAACAAGATTAATGTGTAACAAAAAAAATAAACAAGATTAATGTGTAACATTCTTCATTCATTGAATTTGGTTAGAGACGTTACCAAAGCCAGGTCCTCCGCTTGACAAATATGGTAGACGGTAGACATCAGCTTTCTCATTCTTCAGCACGTAGCTATCAAAACAGATATACAAAGATTCAGCCTCTATCAAAATCAACAAGCACATGCATTTTGAAGCTAAGATAACTATACACACTCCACATAGAGGAAATGGTTCATCTGATACATACGGGCTACCTCCTTCAATGAACCGCTCGGCCAAGATAGCATTTTGGCACGTGAATTCACCAAAGAGTGGAATTCTGCATCACAAAGAAAATGACAACACGAGTAAGATTGTGAGAGGTAACAACAGCAAGGCATTAGGCTGATGATTCCAAGCATTTAGAGCGGTCAAGATAGGGAAAGAGACGAAACCTCAGCTGCTTAAATAATCCAGGAACTGGTGATGAAACGGTCAGTGGAGTATTAAGGATCGCAAGTTTCTCAATCTTGCTTTGATTTTTCAACGCCCATGTTAAACCGTACGAACCTACAAGAAATCCCTTGGGAGACCACAACAAAAAATGCAAACATAAAGTTATATGAGACAGTCTTGACATAACTGTAAAAGACATAATGCAGAAATGACATCTCAGTACACACATCCGTACCTGAACAACAAGAAAGAAAGGAGATTTGACCTCAAGCACCTCCAGAAGTTTATCAAATGCCTCATGGTACTCTTTTTCTGTCAAGATTGAAAAACTTATTACAACCATGAACCATACACAATCCATTATTAATGGTAATACTAATACATCAGAAAAAACCTGTGTAATTAAAACCATATCCTGGCTGAGGTTTGTCACTGAATCCGAATCCTATCCAGTCAGGTGCAAAGCAGTGAAATCCAGCTTCTGACATCTATAAAATCGTTGAGAAACACATCAAAAATATTCAAATAAATACTCAAAGTCGCTTTATTCGACTACTCAAAAGATTCAATATAGCACCTGAGACATGACAGTCCGGAAACTAAAAGACTGAGTCGGAGCTCCATGAAGAAAGACAACGGTTCCTCGACGGCTCTCCTTTGATCCTACCGGAAAAAGAAAAAGAAAAATGATAATCAGTGATTAACTCTTCTTGAAGCAACAAGTAGAAACACAAAAAAAAAAGCTTTTTGTTTAATTTTTACCAGTTTCTCTTACAAACCATCTAAGCTTCCCGGATTTGATGGTCGAACCAAATTCTCTTCCTTTATCTTCAGTCCTCTAAACCGAAAAACCGTAACAAAACCGGAATCTCATCAATTAAGAAAAGTTAAAACAGAACGTGAAAATAATCTTGCAACTGTAAAGTGTTCGTGTCTTAATCCATTTCAATTTCAGTGTACAATTTTTTCAGTTCAAAAGCAGATAGATTTTGAAATGGTAGTTAGGTGAACTTACGTAGAGCATCTGACCGACGTTACCGTCTTCAGCCGGAGATTCCGGCAGCTGAATTGCGCTACGGCTAGACGGATTGTCCGTGACAAAGCCAAATGGATTGAAAGCTGGATCCTCATCGCTACTACCGTTGTTCTCCGGCGTAGCTTTGACGACGGTGAACCGGAATTTAGACGGTGTAGCTCTGATCCTCGGGACGGTGGCTTTTGTCGCGACGGTGGAGGAGAATGAGTGGAGCAGAGGAAGAGGAGAGAACAGAGACAAAGGCATTTTTTTTCTCCTTTTTTTTTATTTGTCAAGTAAAAAAACGTATTTCCACAATTTAAATTTTATATGTCCGCCTGAATTAAAAAATAAAATAAAAATCTGAAAAAATAATAAATGTATAAATCAAAATTGACTCACAGAATTGAAATGATAACGTTTCATCTAGAGGAGGGTAAATTAGCAAATTGAAAATGTCTGGGTATTTTTTCTGATACGTAACGAATATAGAGGGGTTTGGTATATTCGGTGTGAAGAAAACGACGACGTTTGGCATGTGCTTGTCAAATCATACATTTTAAGTTTCTTCTTAATTGAAAATTAATTTTAAGATTTTAAAAAAATATATAATTAATTAAAATTTGGTTATAGTCTACTAGGTTTAAACTGACACAATCAATTTTTATTTTTTTGTAACACATATGGAAACCACCAACATACCTATTAAAATCAACATGTTCATTTTCAAGTGAATCAAATGTTCAAAATTTGCACAAAGCTTTTGTCTTATGAATAACTCAACAAGTATAAATTATCTTCCACTGAAACGACTACCATTATAGGTCTAAGAATTTCTCAAACATATGTAAACTCTATTGTCTCCACTGGTTTGATGAACATTCATATATTTCAGCTACAAATTCATAACTGTCACAATATCTATCAAAATAATTCTATTGAATCTCATAATGTTGTCCAGATTGTTGGAATCGTGCCCAATGGTGCTTTCAATATTGTCTTCGATGTTTATTCTAATTCCCTTTTGATTTATATATAGAGACTTATTCTCTTACAAAAACCTAACCGCTACTTAAGGCAGAAATAAAGCATTGGAGTGAATTCTTCTTTAGTGATCATTTCGCTAAGTAATCATTGTTTTCAAAACGATCTGATTTTCAAAATTTGTTTTCATTTTACAAATGGAGATTATCAATTTTGTTGATAAATCTCTGGATAGAATTATGTATGATATTGGTAAACCTTACAAAGACTAAACTCACATAATTGAAAACTTATGGAGTTTTCTGATAATTAACGGAAATATAGGAGGGATTTTTCTTTGAAACGACAATGTTTCATCTTTAGGAGGGTAAATTAGCAAATTGAAAACGTCTGGGTATTTTCTGATATTTAACGAATATACAGGGTTTAATTTCTTCGGTGTGACGAAACGACAACGTTTCAAAAGGCACGTGCTTGTCAGCGTGTGAGAAACCCTAAAGGTGTCTTGTTCTATGGAAATGCTAGAGTCACCAGTCGAGCCCCAAAACAACCTTCACCGTCAGAAGAAGAAGCTTAACTACCAACCGCCTTCAAAAAGGTCAATACCCGCGCAAAATTCACTCTCGGGTCGGATCTTCCGTTCAAAACCCGGCGCGATCCACCTCGCACCGATCAATTTTGACGATTGATCTCCGGCAAACTGAATAAAGCCAAAGTATTTCCCTTTCAAAAATCACCCGCGAATTGAGGAAGAGGAGTTAAAGCTCCAATGGAGGGAATTGAATCCGGAGATGGAGATGTATGTGTTTTAACAACTCCAAAAACCCCTCTTTTGCTTACTTTCTTATATTCCTGAATTTTGTTAAGGTTATTCATCGATTCGCTGTGATTGTGATTTCATTTGATTATGTTTTCGAGCTGTGTAACGAAATTCTGAAACTTGTATTGAGTAGTTTTGGTGCTGGTGATTGAGTAGGGAATCGAAATGCTTATTTAGTGATAAAGTTTGTACCTTTATCAAAATTTTGTGACTGCAAGTTTACATTTTTTTCCATCGTTGATGGTGTGTTACAGGTACAAGCGTCTGAGTATTTACAAACGGACGAGACCCTTGAAAGAGATGATCCAATGTCAGATGGAGGATGCTCTTTAAGAATAAGAGAAGCTCTGGTTTGCAGTAGCGACCATGAGATCGATATTGGATTTAGCCAAAGCGAACAGAGAAAGAGCGAAGAAGAAGAAGAAGCAATTGGAGAGGAGTTTGATGAACCGAGTGGTTTACTTGTTGAAAGAAAAGATTTTGATCCTCCAGCAGTTGGAATGGAGTTTGAGTCATACGATGATGCTTACAACTACTACAACTGCTACGCTACAGAAGTTGGATTTCGAGTGAGAGTGAAGAACTCATGGTTTAAGCGACGTAGCAAAGAGAAATACGGTGCTGTGCTTTGCTGCAGTAGCCAAGGTTTCAAGAGGGTTAACGATGCGAATCGTGTGAGAAAGGAAACAAGAACTGGTTGTCCTGCGATGATAAGAATGAGACAGGTTGATTCTAAAAGGTGGAGAGTTCTTGAAGTTACTCTTGATCATAACCATTTGCTTGGTTCCAAGATATACAAATCAGCCAAAAGAAATGTGACAGGGACCAAGAGGAAGTGTTTATCTAGCGTAGAGTCAGTGTATCGAGCTCGTGTGATTGATACTGGAGACACTGTGGATCCGAATTCGACTATGAAACAACAAATTCAGATTTCTGGTGGGTCAAATGATTTGCTGAGCCTTAGGAGAGGAGACTCTGCAGCTCTCTACAACTACTTTTGCCGTATGCAACTGACAAATCCGAACTTCTTTTACCTGATGGATGTAAACGATGAAGGACAGCTAAGGAACGTGTTCTGGTCAGATGCTTTCTCTAGAGTTTCTTGCAGTTACTTTGGCGATGTCATCTTAATCGACAATACTTACATCTCCGGGAAATTCGAGATCCCTCTTGTGACGTTTTCAGGAGTAAACCACCATGGGAAAGCTACATTGCTTAGCTGTGGTCTTCTTGCTGGAGAGACTTTAGAGTCTTACCATTGGTTGCTCAAAGTATGGCTCAGTCTCATGAAATGCTCTCCACAAACCATTGTTACAGACAGATGCAAGCCTTTGGAAGCTGCGGTTTCGCAAGTGTTCCCGAGATCGCTTCATAGATTTAGTCTGACGCATATAATGAGAAAGATCCCTGAGAAGTTAGGAGGGTTGCATAACTACGATGGTGTGAGGAGAGCTTTCACGAAAGCGGTTTATGATACTTTGAAAGTTGTTGAGTTTGAAGCAGCTTGGGGGTTTATGGTTCACAGTTTTGGGGTTATAGAGAATGAATGGCTTCGTTCTTTGTATGAAGATCGAGCTAGATGGGCTCCGGTTTATCTGAAAGACACGTTCTTCGCAGGGGTCGCTACAGCTCGTCCTGGAGAGACCTTGAATCCGTTTTTCGAGAGGTATGTTCACAAGCAAACACCGTTGAAAGAGTTTCTTGATAAGTACGAGTTAGCTCTTCATAAGAAGCACAGGGAAGAGACTCTCAGCGACATAGAGTCTCTCTCCTCCAACACTGCAGAGCTTAAAACGAAGTGTTCTTTCGAGACACAGCTCTCGAGAGTGTACACGAGAGACATGTTCAAGAAGTTCCAAGTTGAGGTGGAAGAAATGTACTCGTGTTTCAGCACGACGCAGCTTCACGTCGATGGACCTTTCGTGATCTTTCTTGTGAAAGAACGTGTCCAAGGTGAGTCCAACAGAAGAGAGATCCGCGATTTCGAGGTTCTTTACAATAGATCGGTTGGTGAAGTAAGGTGCATTTGTAGCTGCTTCAACTTCTATGGATACTTGTGTAGACATGCTCTGTGTGTTCTCAATTTCAATGGCGTTGAAGAAGTACCTTTGCGGTATGTTCTACCTCGGTGGAGGAAAGACTTCAAACGGATACAGGGGCCGGCTGATAATGGCTTGACCGGTGGTTTTGTGGATGGCACGGACCGGGTTCAGTGGTTTGATCAGTTGTATAAAAGCGCTCTTCAGGTAGTTGAAGAAGGAACAGTTTCTTTGGATCATTATAAAGTGGCAATGCAAGTTCTTCAACAGTCTCTGGAGAGAGTTCATAGTGTGGAAGAAAAGCAAGACTAGTGTTTATAGAAGGATTTGTGAAACTATATCTGTATATACAAAAATAACTTTTTTTTTGTTATTTTTCTTGCTATAAAAGCTACAAAGATGCATGAATGCAAAAATAATGTAAATAGGTAGGTAGAGACTGGAGAAAATGTCTTTTAACACAGATTACGATTTTGTAAAATATTTTGATTAGTTTCATAAGTTAATACAAAGGAATCCTACAAGCACATTGTATTCTCGACATGAGCATGAATCGGAAATACGCAAACAAGATCATCTTCAGGATTTTTGATGTCCTCGGGACTAGTACCTTGGATTTCAAGTCTTCTAAAGCTGTTTTGCTTCATGTCATAATAGTAAACATAGGCTGGCTTTAGTTTCTGAGAGTAAAACCTCCATTCATCAGTCACAAAGATCTCACCAGCAGGTGTGACACCTGAGAAGCCACTTTGACCATTTTGTAACATTTCAAGTGGGTCGGCATCAAGCAAGCCTAAAGTAATCTTGGAACATTCTTGTTTCTCGGCATTCTCCAAAACCCACAAACTTGTCCCGATTCTGTTGCGACCTATGAATCCTAACTTCCCTAGGTGGTTTACCGCAATACCAATTGACAATACTACTCTTAACATTGACTCTGGAGCACAGACATGATCAAATCTTTCCGACCTAATGTCGAAACTCAGCAATACAGTTTCACAACGCTTCTTGCCCTTTTCTTCTACTCTTAACGTAGCCACATAATAGATGATCCCGTCAACGCATAACCCGACGCCCTCTGGAAGGAGTTTCTCGGCAAAGCCTTGGAGTTTCCTCCAAGATTGACTTCCTCCTAATGTGAAAACATAAATAGATTGCTTATTCGCTGTGTAGTAAGCAATAAAGTACAAGACTTTGTATTGATTCATGACAGGGTCATATCCAAAGTAGCAGTGAGTGCGTTGTTCTCGGAACCGTGGCACTGGGGGTTCCATCACGGGTAAATGAACGGACTGCCTCGTGGTAGGGTTGTATATAGTAACCAAGTGACATACTAACGAATAACAACATATCAAGCCTCGAGCGTAGATATACTCGAACGAACGGGAATAGCAATCGTATGAAGGGTCGATTGAATCTGATCTACGGAGTGACACTGCATGTTTGGTGCTCTGAGAAAAACTGGACGAGACAGTGAAGAAAGCTTCAGGCACACAATGGTAGAGGATGAAAAGGGGAACCTTATGGGGCGGGTGAGCTAAAGATCGAGTCACGATAGACTCGATGAAGTCTCTACGGCTGCTGATAATTGTGGACCATTCCTTGGAGACGCTTTTGAACCTCACAAGTGACTTTGCCGGTAGTTTCTTGAGTATCTCCACGATAAGATCGAGAGGGATACGATAATCTTCCCATCTTGCTCTATTCATCTCTTTCCTTCAGTTGTCGTCTTCTTTTGTACACACTTAACTTGGGAGAAAACAGAGCAAAAATATTGACCAAGAGGATAGGTTACGTGACGGCAAAGAAAAGAGATATAAAGTATATTAGGGTTTCGTGTACTATATATTACTATTTTGACCAAGAGGTTGAAAAATAAATGGTAATAGTTCTTCTTCAACTTTTTCTCTGGAAGTTGAATCATTAGCCATGATTTGTTCAAGACCTTTTGTAGCCGCTATGAGAAACAGAACACAGAAGCATATTCTTAAGTAACGAAACTTTCTTGATGAAACGTAAAACCTGTTATTAGTACTAGTCTCTTTGAAGCTGTGGCAAGATATCGAAGAAGCTTCAGACAAAATGAATAAGAGAAAATAAAAAGACATCATGAGACTTTTACATTGTTCTTCATCATCCTCCTTGCTTCCCGGTGGAATCATAAACCTTTAGTTCTTCAAGGCATTCAATTCAATAGCAGCTGAACAAGGTGGATAGGATCAGTTTCCCATTTTACCCCAATGGGCCTATGAGCATGTGCGCTTAAGAGATTAATGGGCCTGTGTCTAATTCATTTCCAAAATTGCAAAAGATTAATTAATCACCGAAAATCTGATTGTTCCCTCTCTTGCAGAATTGGGATAAAATTCAAGTTGCTTTGGCGCAAAATTCAGAATTTTCCTTCGCTGGTGAGTTCGTATTTCGTAAGCTTCTCTGAATCTCTCGTCTTAAGCAACCATGTCTCCCATAAATTTTGGGTGAATTTCTGATCCAAATTTTTTTAATTCCTTCTTTGATTCACGCAGCGAGAGTTTTCTTCATCCAGGAAACGGCATCATAAACTCTTCAGCTTTCGGGAAAATCCAATCAGAAGCGACAGATCTACTATATAACTGCAGATTCTGGTGAGTGTAATTTTCCTCTTTAGCTAAGCTGATGAAATTATTCGTTTTCAATCGATGGATCTCCGATGATAATCGGTCGTTCGAGAAACTGAACTTTAATGGAAGTTAGTGTTGATATCCTTCTGCGTTTATCGAATCTGGGCTTTTACTGTTGTTGAATCGCTTTAAACTAACACATTTTCCCAGAATCTATTGCGTTTTTGCCATTAATTAGATGATGAACACCTTTCATTATCGATTTTGCAGCGTATTTATGCAATTCACATAACCGATTTCGTCTCTCTACTTGCGAATTGCTGTCAAATCGTCGGTGAGAGAGAGAGAATGAAGTTCAAGGCGTTTCTGACTGAAAACGGAGTGAATCTCTTAGAAAAGAGGTTTCTTCCAGCATTCGACAAACTCGGCAAAACCTGCTTCCTCTTCCTCACGAAAGAGCACTTGTTCTTCCTCCACAACCTTCTCAACGGCGACGGAGTCCAATGCATCGCTCAGTTCCGCAAAGACGCTCTCTTCGACGACTACCACGTCTCCAGCCAGAACGAAGACCGCATCGCCTTCTCCCTAGACGTCTCTCTCCTCCACCGAGCCGTCAAGAGCAGCGTCAGCATCTGCACCGAGTTCAGCGCCGGATTGGCTTCAAACTCAAACAGACTCCAGATCAAGCTCGTGAAGAAGCTCCCTCCAAACTGTACACAGCCAATGCCGTTCCTCACGTTCGAAACGAAAGGTTACAAATCCGCAGTGATTCAAGACGTTCCCATCTCGAGACCGCTCTCTCGTTCTCAGGTCATCGAGCTGCAAACCGCTCTCGACTCGGCTCAAGACCTGCCTCCGACTCTTGTTCAGGTGCAGGACCCGAACCAGCTGCAGAACTTTGTGGACCGTATGAGACATGTTGGTGATGTGCTTAATGTTACGATAAGCAAGCATGGTGATCTTCAGGTGCAGATCTCGACGGCGTTGGTTAGGCTCGGCTCTGAGTTCCGGAGGCTTTCGGTTATCGGTGAGAAGTCTCCGGCTCCTGTTGAGGATAGGAACTTGACCGCTCAGGCTCGGTCAGAGCGAGCGGTTGCTAGAGGCGATGCTATGTCTGTGCAAGTGAGTGTGAAGCATTTCTCAAAGAGTCTTCATTGTCACTTGACTAAACCGGATTCAGCTTTCTATGGGATTGCTCCTCAAGGCTCTTGCTTGACTGTCATCTTCCAGTTCATGGTTCCGGGGACTCGTCAGACCGATAAATCCATCAGTCTCCATTGCCGTCTTCCCGTGCTCGATCCAGGCTCCAACTGAAGGTTAATCTCAAGGTTAAGATTATGATCAAATGTTTGTAGTTTACTCCATTACACTCCCTTACAAGCTCTCAAGCATTAATGAATCAAAATCAAATGTTAAAAACTGAAGAAACACAACAATCCAATCAAAACCAGAATCTTGCAAAAGAAAAAAGAAAAACAGAGATTTGATCTATTCTTGTTCTTGTTTTTGAGGAATGATCTCTGAGCTCTCATCTGTGACTTCTCCGCCATTACTGATTCGGTTGAAGAGTGGATTAGCTTCAATGTAAGCCATTTTCTCCTTAGATTCGTTCATCAGCAACTCAACAACTTCAGACATTGTTGGTCTCCTCTCTGGCTCACTCTGAGCACACAAAAGCCCTACCAAAACCACTCTTTTCAGCTCTTCTTCCACATACTTCCCATTCAGCTTCTGATCCACAATTTCGCCAAACTTTCTATCGTAAACCAGAGGCAAAACCCGTTCGGTTATACCCTGTTTCGTCGTTTGGTTTAGCCTCTCTACAGGTCTTTGACCAGTAACCAGCTCCAGCAGAACAACACCGTAGCTATACACATCTCCCATCTCTGATTCTTTGCCTGATTCAGCACATTCCGGTGAGAGATACCCAAGATTACTATTGTTACCCTTGGTGGTTTTAGCAGCTCCATCTCCTGCATCATCTGGCATCAGCTTACCATATCCGAAATCCGTAACCCGAGCTTCAAACTCAGAGTCAAGCAGCACGTTGCTCGCTCTCACATCTCCATGGACTATTTTAGGTGTTGCATGATGGTGTAAGTAGCTGTTCATAAGATGAAAAAAAGCGAAAAGTCAGTGGACAGTAGATGTTTTATATGAACTATTCTTGATTCCAAAGACTTACGCTATTGCCTGAGCAGAGGTTACTGCGATATTCATCCGCCTGGTCCAATCAAGAAGCGACTCAGAAGAATGCTGACCATGAAGATGCGAGACCAAGCTCAGATTTGGCATGTACTCATACACAATGAGTCGTTCTTGTCCTTCCTCACAGTAACCTCTCACACTCAACAGATTCTTGTGGCGAATACGAGCAAGAATGTCGACTTCTACAGCAAAATCTATCTCTTCTCTGTTACTCCATGCTTTCAGTCTCTTGACTGCAATCTACAAACAACAACAAAGAGACTCATGTCAGAGACCAAATCTTCACATTTTGAATTACAGTAACATAAACCAAAATTCTAGATAATATTACTTGAGATCCATCCCAAAGCTGACCCCAATACACACTACCAAATCGACCCTCGCCGAGTTTGTTGTCATAATTAAAACTGTTTGTGGCTGCGTGAAGTTCCTTCAGTGAGAAAATCCTCCTTGATGGCTCACTCTTCACCTTCTTCTTTGTTCTGTGTAAAATTGAAAAAAACATTTTCAAATCTGAAAACTGGAGCTAATCCAACAGTAGATAGGTTTGCGAATATGCCAACAATGGAAGACATTTTAGACACAAGAACAGATTTTGAACTTGAACAGGCTCCTAAGTTCAAGCTGATATAAATCTCAAAACCCTAATTAGGAAGAATATCGAAACCGATGGAACCAAGAGCAAATTTCGGAGGAAACCCAAAAAATGGTGAAATCGAGATAAAACCATACTTACCGATCAAATCCTTTTCCACAACAGAAGCAGCTGAAAATTTTCATCTTTGAACAACCCACAAACCAAAAAAGCCTCTTAATTTGCAGCTCCTTTCGTTCCTAGACTCTTCCTCGTTGCTGCAGAGAGAGAGAGAAAGGAAAAGCAAAGGTAACGCCTTTTTCGCTGGAGAATGTAACAGCAAAGCAAAGGAAACTCCTTGTGATACTCAAATTTCGTCTTTATTGAGTTTTAACTTCTTGAAGAAGAGAATCAAAAGGGTTGAATCTTCTTCTTTCTAGATTCAGCATTTAACCCTTTGAATTTGGTTGTGTTTACTATTTCGCTGTTTTAATTTGAAAAAAATATTATACTTTATAAGAAAAAAACAAATTATTAGTGGAAATGATTGCGCATATCTTTTATAAAGTGTGGTTTATTTATTTATATTGTATTGTTTTAAGGTATTATTATGTTATTTATTGTTTTGCTTTGAATTTTGGAGCTTTCCTTTTCATGACCTGTTGAATGTTGATGATGACTCATGACAACTAATCAAAATTTCTTAACCACCTTGGTGAATCTGCAATTAAAAAATTGTCAGCAAATCTTTGCCTTTTGTTAAAAAAACATAGATGATACAACTAGAAGTTTCATATCAAATACTACTTTTATTGTATGTGAAGATCTCTAGATATAGTGACTTATTGGTTAAAATGAAAAAAGAAAAGGAATACAGTACCAAACTATATAGGCCCTACCATGCGCTGGTTAATTTAATTTTTTAGTTCTTAATAAGATCGTTAAATACATTTTTATATTATAATGGATAATTACAAGTTACAACCACTAGTTTGTAATTTATATATTTTAGTTTGGAAAACAAGCTAGGTTAACCGAAGTGTATCTCTAGGTCTCAGCAATGAAATCACTGCCGCAGAAGGATGACCAAACCATCCTTACACGCTACTCACAGTCCTCGAATACTGCTAATGAATGCTCAGAACAGATTCCAGTTGATCTCATTGTCGAGATACTCTTGAGATTACCGGCTAAATCTGTAGCGAGATATCGTTGCCTATCGAAGCTATGGTCTTCCATAATTGACCAAATATATTTCACTGACTCCTTCTTGACAAGATCGTCTGCTCGACCGCAGCTCTTGTTCGTCTGTGTAAGAGAGGCCAAGGTTTTCTTCTTTTCCTCACCTCAGGCTCAAAATCCGGATGAGACCTCGAACGGGTCTTCAATAACCGCCAATTATCAGATGAATGTGCCCTATAAAGGTATGTTGTGTCGTAGTCATATCAGTGGTTTGGTCTCTATTAGACAATTTGGAGTCTTAAAAGGAAGTGGTTCTTCCGAGATCGAGTGGGTGATATGTAAACCTAGCACTGGACAATCTTTATCGTTACCAAGAATGAAGAGCTGGAAAGGAATTGGGCGATGAGAAGCTTTCTTGTATATGATCCGAGTGAGAAACAATTCAAGGTATTGTCAATGAGCTGGGATGATGAAAGAGGCAATGTAGAGCATCAAGTTCTGACGGTAGAAACTGAGAAACCTATGTCATGGAGAGTGATTGAATGCGCCATTGCTCATTATCCTACATCAAATGGTACATGCATCAATGGTGTTTTGTATTACAAACCTAATCCCAACAAGTCTGCCATAATCTGCTTTGATAATAGGTCTGAGACGTACAGCTTTGTTAGAACCATGGAAAGTTCAGTTAGTTCAGATAAAAGTACTCTAATAAACTACAAGGGAAAATTGGGTGCACTTTTGCCGGAAGAGTGTGGCCGTATAACTGAAGCTATGAGAAGATTTGAGATGTGGGTTTTAGAAGACCCTGAAAAACATGAATGGTCGAAGCAAATCTACGAATTGCCTTGTGAGTAATGTAGTTCCACAGTCCAGGTTATACTTTGTGGGAGTGACGACTGATACTAATGAAGTTGTGATATCGGCGCACTGTGGTGAGTCCGGCCCTTTCTCTGTGTTCTACTACAGTTTAGAGAGAGAAACTATGAGAAGATTTGAAATCCAAGGAATGAGGGGGTTTCAAGGTCGTACAGTTTACCCTTTTATAAACCATGTTGAGGACGTGAAGCTTTTCTGAAAGTGGGTTTACGACTTTATAATCTGTAGCTAGTTAGTTTGGCTCTTAATTACTTCTCATCATGAGGATCTTACTTGATAGAGGCTTTCTGTACCTAGTGATAACTTTTTTTAGCTTATTAATTGGATGACGCAATCTTCTCTTGTCTTTCAACCGGTTCTCACTTAATTAGTTGATTTCGTACCATCTTGTCTTCGTTTTTCTCTCATCACAAAAACTTGTGAGATATGCTTTGTAGAATTTACGTATAAACGAAGCTTCTCAGTAGTTGGGCCACTAGTGAAGGCCACCAGGTTTCAAACCGACACAATTAAGGAAAAGGAAAAGTTTTCCTTTGACTTAGCGTTTGATATGAGCCCCGGTCTCGAACTTTATGACGAGGTAAGGTTCCTGCTCGACGACGAGAAGAAAGTCGTTATGCTTGCTCTGAGTTGGCTTGACTTGGACGACAAGACCGAGAGCAGAGACATTATCTACATTGTTGGGGAGGACAATGAAGCCACACAAGTTGATTTGGGAACAGCGGTAAAAGATGAATTTCGGGCAGATATTCTTCATTATTTTCCGAGTTTGGTTCAAATCGAGCGAGCTGGAGGCAAAAGGGAGAGAGCTGACATGTAATCTCATTTCTTCTTCTTGTCTTTCCATGTATTTATCTCCAGTAATGCCTGCATCATGGCGCCAGTTAGCAGCTAATGAGAAACAGAACACAGAGGGATATTCTTTAAGTAAACACAAAACTATCTTGATGAAACAGCAACATAAGTTCGAGTATATATACAAGAGATGAAGCCGACTTAAGTTCTAACTAGGAAAGGAAATAGAGAAGAGAAAAGCCAAGTACAAAGAGGAAAAGGTTATTGATAGATGAATCTAGAATATGTCCCAATAGGTTTCGAACCGGCACAAATAAGGAAAAGGCTTAGGGAGCTGTTTTTTTTTTTAACTATAAATAGGGAGAGAAAAGGGATCCTTTTTACATTCTCATTCGATCGTTTAATTGCTCTGAAGAAGAAGATATGGGAGAACGCAAAGAAGTTAGCTTTATGCTTCCAATCGATGTTCGCTGCAACACGTGTGGTAATTACATGTGGCTTGACACCTATTTCAATGGCCATCGAGAAGAGGTCATTGGAGAGACGTACCTAGGGACTCAAATCCTAAGGTTCTACTTCAAGTGCACCAACTGCTCGTCGGAGGTGGCCTTTAAAACGGATCTAGAGAAGGCGGATTTTACCGTCGAAGCAGGTGCAACAAGTGTGGGACTTGTACAAGGCACCGACGGCGATGAGGAAACGTGATTCGTCGATGGATTGCTTTAGATAGGGCTTTTTATTTTATTTTTGGGGGGTGTAATATTTTATTTTATTTTAATTTCTGTTGAATGTTGATGATGACTACAACTAGTCAAAATTTCTTAACCTGTCTTTGCCTTTTTTGCAAACAAGTAAAGTTCAAATCAAATATGCACTAGCTAGTTTTTAAGGTATGTGAAGATCTCTACATATGGTGAATTATTTGTTAAAACTAGATATCTCATTCGATCGTTTGCTCTCTCAAGAAGAAGATATGGGAGAACGCGAAGTGCTAAACAAGTATTATCCACTAAGTTTTGATCCGAAGAAGACACCTCGCCTCCGAAGACCAAAGAACCATCAGAAAAAAATTAGGTTTATGCTTCCGGTCAGTGTTCGGTGTAACACGTGTGGTAATTACATGTCAAAAGGCACCAAATTCAATAGCCGTGAAGAAGAAGTCATTGGCGAGGCGTACCTAGGGATTAAAATCCATAGGTTCTACTTAAAGTGCACCAACTGCTCAGCGGAGGTGACCATTAAAACCGATCCAAAGAACACGGGTTATACTGTCGAATCAGGTGCAACTTGCCCTCGTGGACACGAGGAAGAGGAAGAGGAGGAGGAGGAGAAGCATAAGGGAACCTGAAAACGCATTGGAGTCCTTAGAGAGGAGAAGTATATATAGCCTCTAAAAGAGAGACTAAAGTTATGGCTGCGCTTGATGAGATGAAGTCTACGAAGTCTAGACGAGCGTCCGTGAGTGTAGACGCAATGCTTGAAGCTTTGATTAAAAGACACAGACAAGAAGAAAAAGTGGTCAAGGAGGAAGAAGAAATGCTTATTAAGTCGATCAAATTTGGTAAGCGGGCGAGGGTTGATGAAGACATGAGAAGCGATGAGGAGAAGGAGAAGAAGAAGAAGCCTATGACTAAGAGACGTGATTGCTCTAAATCCAACATTCAAATATCTTCTCTTCCTCGCATAACAACATCAAAGAAGACTGCAAAGCTACCAATGGGACTTAAATCTTTGTGTCACAACTATGGCACCGATGATGAGGAAACGTGATTAGTTGATGTATTGATTGCTCTAACTAGGAGCCTAGGGCTTTTCTTTGATTTTATTGCTTTGTTTTCTGCTTCTCTAGCTATGGTTTGTTAAATCAAATTTTAGATTTCTTGAGCTATCGGGCTAGCTACTCTCACAAGACCTAAAAAACAAAGGATTTTTATGTCAAATGAAAGAAAATGTATAAACCAAACAACAACTGTGCGAATCCAGTTGTATTGTGTCGCGATTATGCAGCTGGCAAAACCAAAATAAAATGGGTGAAGCCTTTTGGATCACATTCACTAGTTGCAAAAGAAGAAAAGGACTAAATCTATGGAAAAAAAAAAAGGAAAACTCAATCAAAACTTGAATTTTCATTGCTTCAACACAAGGAATGTGAATCTTTCAGTAGCACTCCATCGGTCATGTATTTGATAACAGTGTTACATCCTGTGATAATGTGATAATGTGCATTTGTAATGTGATATCAATACGAAAGATGCAGTAATCCACACTTCAGAATTCATCAGTCAAGTGACTGTGAACTTAAAACAGCTAAATGAATACCTTTAGAGGACGCAATAGTCCAACGACGTATGGTGAGTGCCTAATAGGCAGTGCTTTATTAGTCATCATAACTGTTGTGGTTATTCCCTTGAGCTGCCTTAGGCCCTATAAGAGAGAAGAAACCAATTAATTATTATTACTTGGTACTTGGATAATAACTGTAAACAGTTCAGTTATATGGCAAACTGTACTCAACAATGTTCTTGCAGGTGCCCACTAAGGCTGTGAAGCAAATCTTGAATTGCATAAATTAAACAATGAGACTGATGTGTCTCCAGGACTTTACCTCAACAGATATATCAATAATGACTTCAATCATTGTCTTGGTAAGTAAAGGTTGGACGTTCTCTAATGAATCTCCACCCTGTAAGATGCTCTTCCTCACCATATCCAGAACTTCGGAGGAGCATGAAGATAAATATGTCCAACGTAATCGCCACGAACTTCTGACAGTAGAGTATTGACATCATGTATAACCTGCAAGGAAGGAACATGTAGATATTCTAAGAAAATAAAGCAAACCATATGGTCTACATGACCAGACTTCATGTATTTATGTGAAAATCAAATATCTTGAGTATACTTGTTTTCTATAGCATTTTTGTCATTCTGTTTTAAGACATTTATGTTAAGAGAAAAATAAATAATGGAAGCAGTTTCTAAGCTATCTACAGAACATAACAGCAGCTAAATTAGCAAACACAAAACTTCAGAAATCCAAAAAGTTTTAAACTAGAGGAACTGAGAAACAATCCACATAAAAAGTGACTTACATATACAAAATCTTCTGCAGTGGCTGAAACTGCCCATTCACAGCCAGGACTCGGGCTGGCACTACTCTTTCTTGTATTCACCGCAGATGACACCCAAGTGCAATATCTACATGTTATTAACACATTATCACATTATCAAATTCCAATTCTTCATCGCTATCAAACTCAGCTCGCATTTGTGTGCTTCTAACAGCTCAAGATCCTATTGAACAACATCTTCATTAAGCTGAGAGTATCTTTTACTGTACATTTTGCTACCACCAACTCCATACATCTACAGTCTGAAACAGCATTCTAAAGCAATGACCTAAGAGCTTTGTGCTCAAATCAAAAATACTTCAGCTAGATCACGTGATGATTGGTATAAGAGGTCTCGCAGTGCAATTATATCTCCTTTCCATATAAAGAAGAGCGAAATCTAGTATCTAGTAATAAGCTGTTATGTTACAAGATACTGGAAACTGGAGAGATGCGTATTAGGTAAAATATTCTCACAGGTAATTCCTCTGTAGAAGATTCTTCATCATCATATCTAATACTGTTTGAAACGTGAATCTTTCTTCCCTTTACCATTTCCTCGAAGAAAGAAATCCAAATTAGCAGAGCAAGAAAGATGTTAACACGGTCTTGAATCATCAACGCAACTTCCACAAGACCTATACAACAAAAAGAAAAAGAGGAAAGAAGTAAGATAAGAAGACAGAGAAGAAAAATGTTTGAATCCAGTCCAATTGATTGTTCCTCTCGTAAACCAGAAGAAAACGGTGGGCCTTTTGGATCCCATTCACTAGTTGTAAAAGGAGGATATTTTCTTAATAACCACAAATTTGTCACAAGATCAAAAGTTAGAATTTTCATGTACGTCATAAACTCCAATCTCACTTGAGCAATTCGATCATCTCTACAATCTAGGAATCAATGTCAACAACGAAAGATTGATGTCCAAATTATCTCCACTCCCAATTCGAATTACGTAAAGCAATACACAGCAATGACATCGAATTACGAATAAGGAAATCCAAAATCCAATACATAGAGATTACTGGGTAAGAATGACTATCAGAAGGAGGAACTTGTGAGCTCAGTCGTGTTACGAGGTGGTGGTGGTGGATCGGGACAGGGTGGAGTTGGAGGACGGAGAGGAGCGACGGCGATGCGTCCCACGCGGCGAGGAAAGGGTTTGAGGGTGAAGGCGAGACGGCGGAGGAATACAGGTAAAGGTTGGAGCTTGCACTCGTGTTGGCAAACGCTGTCGCCATTTTGGACTCTGTTCTCTCTTTATTTTATGAATTACAGAAAAATGTTATTTTTTTCCCTTTCTTCTCTACAGTCTCCGGAAATCAAGTGATGCTCTCTGTCTGTGGAAGTGAGTGTGAAGCATTTTTCAAAGAGTCTTCATTGTCACTTAACCAGACAGATTCAGCTTTCTATGGGATTGCTTCTCAAGGTGGTTGCTTGACAAATGATCTTCCAGTTTATTGTTCCCGGGACACGTCAAACCAGACACATCCATCAGTCTGCATTGCCAGGCTCAAATTGTATGTTCATCAAGGTTAACTCAAGGCTTAGATTATGATCAGATGTTTGTAGTTTGCTTTTATAAGAAAGACTTTCCATAAAGACCAAATATGTACTCTATTTCATTACACTCTCCCTTACTTACATGCTCTCAACTTCTCAAGCATCAATGAATCAATCAAATGTCAAATGTCAAATGTCAAAAACTGAAGAAGAAACACAATCAAACTTTACAAACCAGATTCTTGCGAAAGAAAAAAATGTGAAATCGAAAAACAGAGATTTGATCTATTCTTGTTCTTGTTTGTGAGGAATGATCTCTGAGCTCTCATCTGCGACTTCTCCTCCATCACTGATTCGGTTGAAGAGTGGATTAGCTTCAATGTAAGCCATTTTCTCCTTAGATTCATTCATCAGCATCTCAACAACTTCAGACATTGTTGGTCTCCTCTCTGGCTCACTCTGAGCACACAACAGCCCTACCAAAACCACTCTTTTCAGCTCCTCTTCCACATACCACCCATTCAGCTTCTGATCCACAATTTCGCCAAACTTCCTCTCGTAAACCAGGTGTAAAACCCATTCGGTTAAACCCAATTTCGTCGTTTGGTTAACCTTCTCTACAGGTCTCTTACCAGTAACCAGCTCCAGCAGAACAACACCGTAGCTATACACATCTCCCATCTCTGATTCTTTTCCTGACTCAGCACATTCCGGTGAGAGATACCCAAGATTACTCTTATTACCCTTGGCGGTTTTAGCAGCTCCATCTCCTGCATCATCTGGCATCAGCTTGCCATATCCGAAATCCATAACCCGAGCTTCAAACTCAGAGTCAAGCAGCACGTTGCTTGTTCTCACATCTCCATGGACTATTTTAGGTGTTGCATGATGGTGTAAGTAGCTGTTCATAGGATGAAAAAAGCAAAAAAATCAGTGGACAGTAGATTTTTCCTCCAGTTTTAGTATATGAACTGTTCTTGACAAGACTTACGCAATCGCCTGAGCAGTGGTTACTGCAATATTCATCCGACTAGTCCAATAAAGATGCGACCGACCATGAAGACGCGAGACCAAGCTTAATTTTGGCATGTAGTCATACACTATGAGTCGCTCTTGTCCTTCCTCACAGTAACCTCTTACACTCAACAGATTCTTGTGGCGAATACGAGCAAGAATCTCGACTTCTACAGCAAAAACTATCTCTTCTCTGCTACTCCATGCTTTCAATCTCTTGACTGCAATCTACAAACAACAACAAAGAGACTCATTAAAGAGACCGAAGCTGCATTCCACTAACACTATGAACTAAAAACAATCAAGCAATTACCTGAGATCCATCCGAAAGCTGACCCCGATACACACTACTAAATGGGCCCTCACCGATTTTGTACTTATTATCAAAACGCTTTGTTACTACTTGAAGCTCCTTAAGTGAAAAAATCCTTGGCGATGGCTCAGACTTCACCTTCTTCTCTGTTCTGTATTAATTTGTGGCATCAAGACAAACAAGGAACATTTTCAAATCTGAAAACTTAGTGCATAACCTAAAACCCATATGAATCCCTTACCTCAAGCTTGGTGCATAGACAGAATTGATTGAAACTGTGTTGTGCCTCCCAGCTTGTGTGGTTTGGAACATCATTCCAATCTCAGATTGTCCAATATGAAGCATCCCCACATGTGTACCAGTTCCATCCTCAAGAAACTGTTCAAAGAAGGCTATAATCTTCTCCTCTTTGAATATAAAACTCTGCCCACAAAACTGATCAGCTGTTTTCACTTGAAAGAGCTTCTCCCATGCTGCAACCTCTTTGTTTACTTGCTTAGCAACCCAAAGTTGAGACTGTCCAGGCTGTTGACATAGGAGCAAAAGTCCATCATCTTCATGTGGGGATAGAGCTAACATGCCTCCTTCGACGTGTGGAACTGAAATTTTCCTGAAAGCTTCTCTTGAAAAATCAAACGATTGCACACACATTTTTCCTTGTTGAGAAACCAAAAAAAAGGAGTTTCCTTCCACAGACACCACCTTCATGGGTAAATCAATGATCCCAACAGATTTGAAATCCATTGATCTCCACCGTTTTTTGGAAAACTCATAGATTTCAGCCTCAGGTCCGTAATGGTCACAAACACTATCGAAGCAGCCAGAGTTAAATCTCAGAATCTTCTCATGCCCAATGAGGTAGTGGTCATATCTTGATAAGTCTTCTTTGTATATCCAATGGACCTCGTGCATGTCGCAAAACACCAGCTTTCTGATAGTTTTTCCCCTAGAAACTGACATTGTGCTGCATAGAAAATTACCATCGCACTGCACCATACTTGTAATGACTTCAGAACCAAAATCATGTACTTTTACATGTCTTGGTCGATCAATAGAATCCAGCAGCCAAATCTGAGATAGATGAGCAACGTGAACGAACCATTTTGGCGAAAGTCTCAAGTTCTCAGTGAAGAGAGAACTCCAGTTTTTTAGTGCTAATTGGAGTTGAACCAGGGAGTAGAGTGGGAGCCTCTCAAGTATCGGTGCCTCAAGATCAGCTGGAATACTAACATCATCTTCCAACTTGTCTTCTTTTTTCTGAATACCGTCATTGTTCCTTCTTTTCCTCTTATCCATCTGTGCCAACAAGGAGTTATTAACAATTAAGCCGAGATTCAACCAACATAACACAAAAAGAATCAAGCTTAAAGTCAAAACTTTTAAGGTCATTTACATAAAGAGTAAACCTTAGTGCTCATAAACACAAACTCTTCCGAATCAATACCACAAGCTAAACCTAACTCCGATATAGTAGAAGCGCCAAGAATCATATCCAATTTGTTGAAGAAACACCACTTGCTCTGATAGAAAAAAAGCACAATAGCAACCGGCAAAAAAAACCCCATTGCGGCAAAAAAAACCCCAATTTGTTATTAACAAACGTCATTGTTCCTTCTTTTCCTCTTATCCATCTGTGCCAACAAGGAGTTATTAACAATTAAGCCGAGATTCAACCAACATAACACAAAAAGAATCAAGCTTAAAGTCAAAACTTTTAAGGTCATTTACATAAAGAGTAAACCTTAGTGCTCATAAACACAAACTCTTCCGAATCAATACCACAAGCTAAACCTAACTCCGATATAGTAGAAGCGCCAAGAATCATATCCAATTTGTTGAAGAAACACCACTTGCTCTGATAGAAAAAAAGCACAATAGCAACCGGCAAAAAAAACCCCATTGCGGCAAAAAAAACCCCAATTTGTTATTAACAAACGTCATTGTTCCTTCTTTTCCTCTTATCCATCTGTGCCAACAAGGAGTTATTAACAATTAAGCCGAGATTCAACCAACATAACACAAAAAGAATCAAGCTTAAAGTCAAAACTTTTAAGGTCATTTACATAAAGAGTAAACCTTAGTGCTCATAAACACAAACTCTTCCGAATCAATACCACAAGCTAAACCTAACTCCGATATAGTAGAAGCGCCAAGAATCATATCCAATTTGTTGAAGAAACACCACTTGCTCTGATAGAAAAAAAGCACAATAGCAACCGGCAAAAAAAACCCCATTGCGGCAAAAAAAACCCCAATTTGTTATTAACAAACGTCATTGTTCCTTCTTTTCCTCTTATCCATCTGTGCCAACAAGGAGTTATTAACAATTAAGCCGAGATTCAACCAACATAACACAAAAAGAATCAAGCTTAAAGTCAAAACTTTTAAGGTCATTTACATAAAGAGTAAACCTTAGTGCTCATAAACACAAACTCTTCCGAATCAATACCACAAGCTAAACCTAACTCCGATATAGTAGAAGCGCCAAGAATCATATCCAATTTGTTGAAGAAACACCACTTGCTCTGATAGAAAAAAAGCACAATAGCAACCGGCAAAAAAAACCCCATTGCGGTAAACTTGAACTTTCGCACATGTACCTCTACACAAAATCAATCGGCCGGCGGTGAGGAGAATTTGAGAATTCCGAGATCGGAGGAGAATCTCCGGAATGAGAATCGCGCGCTTGTGACTTTGTTCGACAGTGTTTCTTTGTTCGTCGTTAGTAGAAGCGCCAAGAAGCATAAAAGAAAAAAAAAAGGAAGACGGATCGGATTCTGGGATAAAAGAGAGCTCGGAATAAAAGGCTCTGGTGAGCTCCTGGTGGTCTCTGTTGAAGAAAATGAATCTCTTCTACCCCGTTATAACGAAGAAATTTTTTTTCATTTTCTTTTAAGTGGAAAAACTATGAAATGACGAAATGACCTTATAAATTTGTTATAATTACAGATCCAACCATTAACCAGATCCGCGAACCAATTCAAACTGGGTCAAAAGAATTGTTTGGAAAAAATAGTTTTCAAACCCATTTTATCTCGTTTAATAAATTGTTTGGAAAAAATGGTTTTCAGACCCATCGTCGAAATCAATAAATTCCCCACATGCAAATACTCTCCTAATCAACATTGACAACAAGTTGATAAATAATCTTCCCGATTCAATCAATGGCGTTAGAATGCCTAAATCCAATCCAATGCAATTAGAATTGAAATGGGACCAAAACAAAGACAATTAAACCCAATTAAAAACAACAACAAAGACTAATGCACCCGAAGTTCGAATATTATCAGGGAATGAATCGATCAGTTAGGGAAGAAGGGAAGTTGGAACCCTAAATTCCCAAATCGAAGAAGACGAAGAGAGAAGAAGTGATTCAAGTGAAAAAAAAAATTCACTTTACCTCAACAATTTCGTATTGTTTTCATATTATGTTTGCACTAATTATGGGCTTAGTTGAAAAGAAAAATGTATAATGGACTATGTTATATTATTGAGAAGCATCTGTTCCCTAAAACCAAAACAACAAGTCGAATATTGAGAGATCTCTCTGTATAGGAGAAACCTCCATTGGAGTCGAAAGAGAAAAGGATACGATCACATTACATGTCCTGATGCAAAACCACCGTTCTCTTTCCCACATCTCCCTTTTGGAAGACCCAATGCGGTTGTGAGCCACTCAGTAACGTCTAATTGCTTGAACTTATCAGATTTTTCTGGAACTTCAGCACACAACAACCGCCTTGCATGGACATGGGCATAATTCGGGCATAGCCTGTTTTGGACCGTTGTTCATTTGGACGCGGCTCGTTTCAAATCAAATATCAAATAGTCCATCTGGAGATGGATCAATGGGTGGCGGACGGTCCAATTAACAGCTCTAATAGTTGCACTCAAAATGTCCGCATTCTGCTTCATAGCGTTGGTGTTGATTCGTTTCTTTATAGTGTTGTGTCTATTCGTTTCTTTACAGTGTTGTCTATTCGTTTTCTTTATATGTGGAAGTTCATATATTTATGTCGTTAAATTGATATTTTCTTTTGCTGACTGTGAAAGTTTGGGCGGAAATTCATATACTTATGTCCAAAACCAAAAAAATGTTATATGGTTCCATTTTAAATGTCACCCGATCTTGTAACCACTGGATTGTAGTGTCGGTGTTTTCCTAGTATAAGTAACAACTATAAAAAAATAGGGTAATAACTGGAATACGATAAAAGATAGCTGATGGTAAATTAGATAGTAATAAGCAAATAATACATCTTTCGCCGTAATGGCTAAGATTTACAACCTATATAAAATAAGCAAAAGAAAGAGGGGTAAGAAACCACTTATAACAAAATAATAAAGATGACACACAATCTAATGGCAGCTGGATGCACAAAATTAAGACAATCGCATAAAATAAGCAAAAGAAAATGGAATCGGAAGGGAAGGGAAGATTGAGTTTATTTATCATCGGGGATGCAGAATCTTTAGTGTCAAAGCTATAGCTAACGTAAAAGAAAAAGAAAAAAAAAAGCTAGCTATCTTTTTTTGTTTTTAAAGGACATAGCTATCGTTTGATAATCATGGAAAGAGACTGCATACAAGTTGTGGACATGCTTGAAGGAGATCTCTAGAACATACATCACACAGGACAATATAATCAATGACATTCCATAGTGGACGTAACGATTTATAATAAGATTGCGACTAGTGTCCCGCCTACACAACAGAGTGTCAGATTAACTTGCTATAATGGCTCATACCCAACAACAATTATCTACCTGTTTTGAATTCCATCCGCAACGTTTTGATTTGTCAAAATACTCGAATATATATAATGTCTTAAAATCTGGCCCAAAAAAGAAGAAGAAAAGAATAGATGTTAAATATATATATATGTGGTTGAAAAGAACAAAATCTAGTTACCAACACTATATTCATGAATCTAATCCTTCAAAAGAACCAAAAACAGCAACAGAAAAGGAAGATCTAGGGATGGTAACATGATTATTAATTAAGGAATGGACAAAAAAAGAAAAAGCAAACGACATTGATAAGTGGGAGTCACGTAAAATCAGTTCCAGTCGCTGTCTGTTAAAAATTTAAGATTGCGTTTGCACGTGCTCTGCAGACTGCAGTGCTGTTTGCTTGTTTATTTCATGACTCACTGAGTCATTTTTGCCCCATATCTCGCTCCTTCATTGCTACAAAATAGAGAGAGATGAATTTCGTCCAATGTTCCCTCTTACGATACTTTTCACCGTTCCCTTTCGGCTCCTTCACATTCTCGGCGAATTTCACCTTCTTCTTCTTCCTTTGTTTCTTCTTTTCCTCTGCATAAAATAAAACTAGAAATTTAGAAAATTTGATAGCCGGAAAGTGATCGGACAAGAAAAGATCCGACAAAAAGGGTACCTGAAGAAAGACATGAACGGAGGATTTGTTGATCATCGATCTCTGATGTCTGATTTCCAGAGAATTGGCGGGAAACCGCGAGAAACAGAGCAGTGCTTGAGAAAACCATAGCGGTCGCGATCACGACGCCATGAGAGCAGCTCAGTATACAAGTCATGTGTGTTCTTAATTGGGATCAAAGGAGAGATTTCTCGCAGAAAATTCAGAGAGAGAGAGAGAGAAAGTTAAGAATTTGCACTTTTTAACTTTTTTCTCAGGGGAGAGGTAGTTGATTAATGAATGAGTCTGAAATGAAGCATGTGTGTATTGCAGAGAGATTGGTTTGTACCACAAACGTCACGCAAAAAAAGTACTGATGAAGTTGAACGGTGAGAATCTCTTCTCTGAGATTTGTCCAAAGAAGAAGAAATGAGTTTTTGAGTAATGGGTTTGAAAGAAAGTATTGAGAAAAGGTCTGACAATAATCAAAAGTTGAAATGTTTTTGTGTGCTGTCTTCTGTTGGAAAAAGTAGAGAGAGAGAGAGTGAAAGACTGGTGTTTGGTTAAGTAGTCACAGGCTCAGAAATCAAGTGGAAATGGGAAAATCTTCTATCATAATTAAATTCTTCACTGTCTTTAGACTCTCACCATATTTATAACTAGATGCAATGTCACAGATTTATTTATAGCAGTAACATAAATATATTCATAAGCGAATGGTCAAATATCTCTATTGGTTATAATCATTCCTTTTAAACTATTTACACATAATTTTTAAAAGCTCTATATTTTTTTTTGTAAAGTTATTTATATATATAATTAGCTAAATACTACATTTTTGTTTGTTTGTCAATGGGCAATATACATTTTGTTTTTAAGGGTATAAAAATAAGTTAAACTGAGAAATTACTTCGCCACATCTATAAATTAAAACTTTTTGCACGTTGTTTACTTTTAGCTACTAAAATAATTTTCTTTTGTCTTCATTGGTTGATACGTTTTTCTTTTTGAAGTAAAAAATATTCAATTTTGTGTCTTGTCACTTCTCTTCTCATGTTTTTATTTATTTATTATAACATTAATTAGAGAGTGGTTTTGGTTACTCGACCTTCCATAGTGGAGATGTTATGCTTAAACATCACTTAATGAATCAAATGGTTTAGGTTTGGAGGCTTGGAGCAGTCAACTTCTAAACCAGGGGAAAATATGATGAAAAGAAATACAGGAAAACGAAAAAGATTGAGTGAGGATTCTAAATAGTGCAATGAATCTCTTCCAACTAAGTAAGTCTGATTCTAAATAAGTCTGATTCCATCTCCATCATTAACTTCAAGACAGAATCTGACCTCTGCTTTGAACATGGGCTCTTGCCACGTGTCCTATTTCGAAACCTAATTTTGCCGCGTTTAGGACGTCAAGGTTTTATTAACACAAACAAATGATATTCGTGCGATAGTACTGATCCATTTCGATTCAAAACGTATACGCTACGAACACGTTCTACATGACATTTGAAAGAGGACCAGTCCAAGTGTATTTCTTTCGAAACTTCTTGAAGTTTTTTTATTGTGATATATATACATAAAAGAGTAGAATGGATTACAGTACAAGCAATTTGTGGTCCAGGCTCCAGCTGTTGGAACCAATACAAGTTATTTAGAATCGTGGTAAACTAATGATGTCAGTATTAATATTTTGTTCATTTTCTTCGTATTTCCGGGTTTATGTATCTAATTTTACAATCAATATGTATTGCAAAATAAGAGATAAGATTTTAACATCTATCATCATCGTACGGCAACTTGTTTTTAGGACATAAACTAGTTTGAAAGATACCATAAGAAGTTAAAGTCTTACAAGTTTTGAGGATACCTAAAGAAGATAGAGAGATAGTCACACATTCGTCTAACAAAATAAAAAAAGAGATAGTCACATGGTTCGATTGACTTTGATGTCCCAAATAACATTAGCCACAAACGTTTACTATATTTATTCCTCTTAATACATTCACACCAGTACTGATTCACTCTTATCCAAAGACTAATGATGTTGCTGGTAAGCCAAAATTTTGTGGACTGCCTTAATCCAGTTAATTATGTCATGATGGGATTTGATTTTTTGAGGGTTTGGAAAAAATCATAATCAAGTCAAATCTGATTCATATGTAACCAATCCTACCAGAAAACGGACGGAATCCATTCAAAGTGTCCTTTCTTTAATTTCATTTTGTATTTAGTGGCTAACAAGAGACAATAGAGATATGGTCCAAAAGATTACAAGATTTGACCGTCCCGAGAAATTGTTAACTAGCTTTTGTAGACTAGAACCCATTGTGCCGGAACCAGACTGGTCCAACTCCTAGCAACATCGTCATATATGAAAACTTAAAGGGTTTAAACGCAAAGGTACTTGTTTGATTTTAAAATCCACATATTTAACTCTAAAATGAGTGAGGATTTAGAGGAAGACTCAAATAGCACCATACTAATAAGTTACATTTTCTTTTGTTGAGTGTAACATGTTATAACTTATAATATTCTAATCATCTTATACTTAGTCTAAATCGCTATATTATGAATGTTTAGGGCCTTTAGGCAATGCATTTACATTCAAACGAGACGGATGGATCAAAAGCAACTAACAATCACACACTAGATTGTTTATTTCAATAAAACAAACGTCAAAAAAAAGATAATAGATAAGTTCATAGATCAATGAGTAATTAGAAACATAAAAAAGTATCAAAAGGCACATTGAACTACTATATTTATCTCCAAATCCTTAGTGTCCGAATGAAAAAAAAATGCTAAAAATGTTTCAACTTATTGAAGAAAACGAAAGAGGAGAGGAAGGTGTTTATTATTACCTATCAGATACTACCATAGAGCTTAGGTAGTAAGAATCGGAGGCATGTAATCAGATTTAACACCAAGATTCGAGCTTTCATGTCAGGTAAGAATTTGCAATCCAAAAACTCAATTTTGGCGATTTTTCTGTATGGACATGGGCATAATTCGGGTGCGGCCTGTTTTGGACCATTGTCCATTTGGGCACGGCCGGTTTCGGACTAAATATCAAATGGTCCATCTGGACATGGAAGCGTTCGAAGTTGCTTTTGCATGAGATAGAGTTGGAGACACTCACAGCTCTGGTTGATGTTCGAAGTTGCTTTTGCATGAGATAAAGTTGGAGACACTCACAGCTCTGGTTGATGCAAAAGGGACATTTGAGTCGGTTAATCCAAGCCAAATCATTAATGATCTGGGGAAGATCCACCCACGACTTACTAGTATTCAGGTGATTCAGCCAATGATGAAGTCATTTAAGATGGTGAGTAGTCTGCTTATTAGATATTATCTTTTAAGCACTTTTATATATTGTGTTGTCTTTTCGAATTCCAAATTATGAGTTTTTAGTTCTTGTTTGGAGATAGTTGAAATGTTTTTGTGAACATAAAAAATTATGAGTGAGGAAAGTGAATTGTCAATTACATAACTGCATTTGTTAAAAATTTAATTACGGTGAATAGTATTGTCATCTAGTGAAAATACTCTTCTTTAGTTTCATTTTACATTTAGTGGGTAACAAGAGACAACAGAGTTATGATCCAAAAGACTATAATATTTGACATTCTCTCGAAAGTTATTCCTTATAAGTAGCTTTTGTAGACCCATTGTGTCGGGACCACACTGGTCGAACTCCTAGCAACATCGTCATATATGAAAAAAACGCAAATGCACTTGTTTGATTGGAAAATTCACTTGTTTGATTTTAAAATCCACATATTTAATTCTAAAATGAGTGAGGATTCAGAGGAAGTAACATATAGCACCATATAATATTCTACATTTTCCTTTTTTGTTGAGTTTAACATGTTATAACTATCTCTAACTTATAATATTCTAATCATCATATACAGATTTACATTCCCAAACGTAAGAGAACATCCTTAGTCTAAACCGCTATATTATGAATGTTTAGGGCCTTTAGGCCATGCATTTACATTATAACGTGACGGATAGAAAGCAACTATCACTCAAACACTAAGATATTTATTTCAATAAAACAAACTTCAAAAAAAGATAATAGATAAGTTCATATATCAAGAGTAATTAGCAACAACAAAAACGTATCAAAAGGCACACCACACTACTATATTTCTCTCCGAATCTTTAGTGTCCGAATGAAAAAAAAAATGCTAAAAATGTTTAACTTATTGAAGAAAACGAAAAAGGAGACAAAGTTATTTATTATTAGCTATTAGATACTGCCATATAGAGCTTAGGTAGTAAGAATCGGAGGCATGTAATCAGATTTAACGCCAAGGATTCGAGCTTTCGTGTCAGGAAAGAATTCGCAACCCGGAAGCTCAGTGACCTCTCCTTGACTAGCAACACCGATCGGATAACGAAGCAGATGACCAGGAAGATCGTGTTCGAGTGACTCACTCGAGTAAAGATCCCAATACTTATCAGCAACACGGTTAACTTTCTTGATACATTCTTCGCTCGATGGATCGAGGAAAGTCTCATCTAGCATTCCTAAATGTTCGTACCATAAAGACATGCGGAATCCATGGATTTGACCTCGAGCTGGTTGTTTTATCGAGAGATGATATGGTTGATAGCCTCCCATTGCTATCTCTGAGTCTCTTGCACCATCCATTGACCTCTGGTTTATATTTGCTGATCCGATTATTATGTACTCATCGTCAACTGCAAAAATTAAATGTTGAATCGTTACAAGTAAGGAAAATTCTTAAAAATACCACAAAAATAAATTCTTGTTCCAAAATTATCATCACTAGTTTTATTTTCCAAATATACCACAATTTTTTTTTCTTACCACAAAACAAAAATCAAACTTTAAGCCCCTCAAAACTAAATTATAAACCCTAAAATCAAAATACTAAACCATAATATCTAAACTATAAACCTTTAAAAATCATTTTAGTGTTTTTGGCATGTTTGGAAAAACTCATTTATTGATATTTATGGACAAATAAAACTAATGATGGTATTTTGGATCAAAAACTTAATTTAGTGGTATTTTAAGGCATTCATAAGTAATTTCAAAAGTGATGAATTTCTTGAAAGTGTACTCACCGATCATCATTTTGGTGTGAACATAGATCATGAAGCGTCGTGCTTCTTGTGCTCGGATGTAGTCAGTGTCCGG